AGTTGTAAATGTGAAAAGTTTACAAACAGACAGACGGACAGATAGAAAGACAGACAGACAGCCGGATGCCAGACAAAATGTAATCAGAAAAGCTAAAAAAGAGACTCTTATTAACTATTAAGTTACTCTTAATTTCTTTTGTGATCAGCTATGAAAAAACAGTGATACATAATCACATTTTTAAAACCATTGAATCTAAACTAGTGTATCAAATGCGTAACTTAGCGTAATTATCACACTATGTTTTACCTAGTTTGTCACCTCAGGCAATTGACTGCTTATAATGAAGACAAATTACAAGAGGGCATTTATTTAATCAAATCTTACACACTTAGATAGTTTGTACCATCTTACACACTGTAGATGGTCTGTACAAAAATTAAATTTTATTGATTCCGACGCTGCCTTTGTATCCCCATGAATTCAAAGATACCTAACTCTTGATTAAGTATTTTGTCAAAATTAACACTCGTCAATTTTTGTAAACAAACCAGAAGTCTCTGTCGAGACTGTAGCTCTACTGGTTTGTACTTATCAAAAACCATTGCACTATTTTATGTATCTTTGTGTAGTCTACTTATGTGCCAACTTATTTTGAAATCAGACAAAAACTGTAGAAGGAGTAGCGTTTTTAAGGAATTCCACAGAAAATTCTATTTTGAGTAACCATAGCAATACCGTTCATCGAAATCAAAAACCAATGCACTATTCTATGTATCTTAGTGTAGTCTACTTGTGTGCCAAGTTATATTGAAATCCGACAAAAACTGTAGAAGGAGTAGCGTTTTAAAGGAATTTCACAGAAAATTCTATTTTTAGTAACCATGGCAACACCGTTCATCCAAATCAAAAACCGATGCACTATTCTATGTATCTTAGTGTAGTCTACTTGTCTGCCAAGTTATATTGAAATCAGACAAAAACTGTACAAGGAGTAGCGTTTTAAAGGAATTTCACAGAAAATTCTATTTTTAGTAACCATGGCAACACCGTTCATCGAAATCAAAAATCGATGCACTATTCTATGTATCTTAGTGTAGTCTACTTGTGTGCCAAGTTATATTGAAATCAGACCAAAACTGTAGAAGGAGTAGCGTTTTTAAGGAATTTCACAGAAAATTCTATTTTTAGTAACCATGGCAACACCGTTCATCGAAATCAAAAAACGATGCAATATTCTATGTATCTTAGTGTAGTCTACTTGTGTGCCAAGTTATACTGAAATCAAACTAAAATTGTAGGAGGAGTAGCGTTTTGAAAAATTGTTTACAGACGGACAGACAGACAGACGGACGGTCTCTGACCAGTAGAGCTAAAAATCATCAATTTTTCAACTCGTCAATATAACCATGTTTACAGTACTTCCTTTAAAAATATGCATGTACAAGTCATGCACAAAGCGCATTTGGACCAAATTATTTTTCAACCTAATATGGCTGCTCATATAATTAGGTGAAATTTGCGATGATCTCAATTTCAGACCAAGATGGGCTATCAGTAAAGTTTTTAGATGGCAGCAAAAAGGAAAGAAATAAATTGAGAAACAAAGCTCTTTTGGTGCAATATACACTTTTTTTAATATGCATGCATGTAAGGAAAAAAGTGCAAAGCTTGGATCCTACGCTAATATTGAAATATTGAAAATGGGAAATTCAGTTTGGGTGTTGGTCAATGTAATAAAATAACTTACAAATTACTGTAAATGTATTACATTTAGCGTGTACAATATTTGGCGGAAGTTTGAGTCTTTAACAAGGGCATTCATTAATTTACTTCTTAATGAGTATATGTGCAAGACATTTAGCGTGTACTTGAATTAGGACAAGTTTCTGTCCGCCAAAGGCACTAAAAAGAATACACAGCCAAATGTAATATGTTTGCAGTATTTTCTAAGTATGCTGTTATATACCTTCTTTATATCAAAGAAATGAGGCAAGTACAGTTTTTCCCAGTTTATTTGTCAAGGGTCTGGATATATTAAACAAACAAAAAAATGGGATCATTGCTGGGAGTCCATCCTCAACAAACAAAACATGAACAAAAAACATAACATACTAATCTTAATAAACACATATCAAGTACATTGTTAAACATACACTAAGAATTTAACCCTTAACAAGAATCCCTTTTGTTTTACAAAAAACAATGAATGTAGACATTTAAGTACAATTAGAACTGATTTACAAGTCCTTCAGGAATGAATTGAGGAATTTCTGGTAATACTATAAGATCAACAAACTGCCAATATGCATGTATAAAATGATGGAAATCCTATGAAAACAGCTGGATGGATCATAAAGAATGCAGAAATACATGTACATAACAGATACAAACCAATACAAAAATAAACTGATCTAGGTTTATAAACAAATCTTGGGGGTGGGAATGGGGGGGGGGGGTTAGCACATGTAAATGAGGATCAACAGTGAAAGCTAGCTGCAATAATGGAGACCTCTCCCCCTTTTTTGGGGGGGGGGGTAATATCAGATAAAAAAAAATCGGAGAGAGCTACATTATTGCAGCTACAGTGAAAGCATAGTATTTCTCGCGGTAAAAGTTTTCTTCCTGTGGAAAACAGCTATAAACATACATGTGGAAATTTAAGACATGCAAGTACAATATTTTCACCATTTAGAAAAAAAATTATTACGTGTCAAACTATATTCTGTGTTTTTAGAAAAATGTAGTTCTCTAATACAAATGAAACAAAGCTTAGACTACACTAAATTTATCTTTACACCATGAAGGTACACATACTAGCAAAACTAATAACAAATTGTTGTCAATTTTCAAACATTACAGATCCATTTCTTTTTATATTCTAACATAAATTACAGACAACAAATTCTAATGTTCCAGAGACATGTACACTTGAGATCAGTCGTCCAATCCAATGTTTCTGAACAGGTAGGACATGGACTCGTTATTCTGGATACGCCTGATTGCTTCTGTCAACATAATACTGATGTCCACCGTTTTAATTTTGTGACACTGCATTTTCTGCATCTCGTGTGGAACGGTGTTAGTGACAACAACCTATAATGAAATTAATAGTGAACACAAAGAAAGCAAGTGAAACAGGAAAGGAGAAAATGAATTGTTGGACCAGGAATCGAAACCCAGGACCCCTACATCACTAGTCAGGTGCTCTACAGAATGAACTTTCCAGGTGAATATCAAAGGTCCATACCATTACAAAAGCAAATTGATTTTGCTTTTTATATTTTAAACAACACAACTTATGAATTGTAGCTACCCATTTTCTGGATTCAGTGCATTTAGATATCGAAGCAAAGAATCGAGGCGTACAAGGTGAGGACAATCCCCCACTCTGAAAAAAGACTTCTCAATACGCAAGTTTCGAGATTATCTCCCTTGTTGCGCTCTTTCGTTGAGGAGGGGAGTTTCGTTGCCGCGTAAACAAACAGGTGGGACAGATATTTAATATTTATATATTGGATATATCGATACAGATAATCTACTGGTTTATCGTCACTTCATGATTGTAAGGATGCACTCTACAACTCGAGAATAAACGAATTAATGTAAAGATATCAATTTTTAAAGCAAAAAAATCGTAACAAAAAAGAAAATATCAGTGGATGTGAGACTTTTTAGACGAGGGAAGAGATATAGACCTCTAATAAATACATGCATCTGATCATTGGATGTCGGAAATCTAAATTACATAATGATTCTTTTTATATTATAACTTTTAAAAAACACTAATTGTTTAGAAAATGTTTGTACAATAAAGAAAATCGGTTACTTTTTATAAAGACTACGTTTCTTTCGTTTTCAGGTACCCTATAATTCAAAGTAAAATTGCAAATGTGCATAGTTGAGCTTGATAAAATCATCAAATGCAACACTGCTTAACATCATTATCTTTCTATAACATTTAATAAATTCTAAAAGTCATAAATATCGTTCATTTATTCATGCACGGTTGTATACAGAAGCAACCTGTCCCACCTCCACGCTGAAATGGATACTTTTTGCACCTCCATCGTAGGAGAGTTACAATCTCGAAACTCGCATATTCTAAAAGTAGTATTTTTTCAAAATTTTATGGTTTATATCATCTTTTATATATCAAATTTTTTATTTCATTGTTTAAATAATTTATTAATAATTTATTTTTACTCATGTTTTTAAGACATTTGAAAACAAAAAAGAAAAAGCTTCATGTATGATTCGAACTCTCTCCATAGCGCAGGTTTGGTCCAAGACCAACCGCTTTAACCACTACGCTACGAAGTATATGCATTATTGACGTCTTTCAGTGTGATTTAAATGAACGGGTTTGTTGAAGCGTAAATTTTTTCAGAAAAGTTCGATTTTCATATAGAATGGGTTCAGATTCCACTTTTTGGACAAATGAAATAGATTTCACATTTACGTTTCCATCATTTAAGCGTTCATGAAGAATGGAGACTTGACCCATTCATGTTCAAAATTCGTTGTTTATAGCTCTATTTAACCCATTTTCCACTAAATATGCTTAACTGTCAACTTTGAAATAAAGATTATCAAATGATAAGTCGTTCAGTAAAATAAAATAATAATTTCTTTTGAAGATGACATTACTGAGAATGTGATTTTAGAAAAATATAAATTTTTGGTGAATTTTGAAAATTGAGAAACATTTTGTCTCATAGCGGGGGATTATACACGCCTTATACGCCCTCCTTCTTACATGAAATTCTATTTAAACTGGAATTTTTTCCTGTCTGTTATACAGGAATTTTCAAAATCTTGTTTTCTTTGAACAAATCTAGGTACCTCATCAATACAGGAGTCCTCTATGAGTTTGGGGGCATCTGATGACAGGAGACCATGTGTGGCCATGACATATACTTTATACGCTCCTCTCTCCTTCAGAACTTCTGCCACTTTGACAAACGCATCTACATCATCTATCATGTCATCCTATAAACAATTACAAGAGGCCCATGGGCCACATCGCTCACCTGAGCACTAAGGCTAGGAAAAAGTAGAAAATGGTTTTTATTGTAAAGTTTAAATCCAAAAGAAGTCCCATGACCAATCATGGATTTGCTATTTTTTAGGGGGGGGGGGGGGTTGTCATGATTTGAACAAACTTGAATCTACACTACCTGAGCATGCTTCCATTTAAATATGATGAATTATGGCTTTGCTATTCTTGAGAAGAAGATTTTTAAAGAATTTTCCTATATATTTCTATGTAAAACTTTGGTCGGCCATTTTGGCCCCGCCCTACCCCTGGGGGTCATGATTTGAACAAATTTGAATCTTCACTACCTGAGCATGCTTCCATATATATATGATGAATTATGGCTTTGTCATTCTTGAGAAGAAGATTTTTAAAGAATTTTCCTATATATTTCTCACAGGCACTTGTTTCTGTAATAAATTTTTGACCCATAGTATAATAATAACACAAGGTATCTAACTCCGATTTACACCGATTACCCCCCTCCCTTAGAATCGCACTCATTTACACTTTCAGAGGAAATGCACGGGTAAACTGTTTATACCTATGTCTTCTACGATAATTTATCTACACAACCATGTATGGCATGCTTGTCTCTATTTTCTTTTATCTCCGTAATCAGCGTCAAAACTCTGCTCGCCGAGTGGAAAGTACAAGAGGCCCATGGGCCACATCGCTCACCTGAGAAGCTTTGACCATTCTGTTCTTTACCAGATTTCACCCTTGTTATACATAATGCATCCCCACCCTACCCCACTGATCATAATTTAGACATTTTGAAATCTACACTACCCCATGATCCTTCCATGGGCACATATGTTTCAGCTTTTTTGGCCCAGTGGTTCCTGAGAAGAAGATTTTCAAAGATTTTTCCTATATATTTCTATGTAAAACTTTGATTCCCTATAATGGCCCCGCCCTTCCCCCGGGGGTCATGATTCCTACAATTTAGAATTTACACTACCCCAGAATGCTTCCACATAAGCTTCACTTTTTCTGGCCCAGTGGTTCTTGAGAAGAAAATTTTCAAAGATTTTTCCTATATATTTCTATATAAAACTTTGATTCCCCATTGTGGCCCCGCCCTTCCCCGGGTGTCATTATTTGAACAATTTAGAATCTACATTATACCAGGATGCTTCCACATAAGTTTCAGCTTTTCTGGCTCAGTGGTTCTTGAGAAGAAGATTTTCAAAGATTTTTCCTATATATTTCTATGTAAAACTTTGATACCCCATTGTGGCCCCGCCCTTCCCCTGGGGGTCATGATTTGAACAATTTAGAATCTACACTATACCAGGATGCTTCCACATAAGTTTCAGCTTTTCTGGCCCAGTGGTTCTTGAGAAGAAGATTTTTTAATGACCCCACCCTATTTTTGTCTTTTCTTGATTATTTCCCCTTGCGAAGGGATATGTCCCTTCATTTTAACAATTTAAACTCCCCTTTACCCAAGGATGCTTTGTACCAAGTTTGGTCAAAATTGGCCCAGTGGTTCTTGAGAAGAAGTCGAAAATGTGATAAGTTTACAGACGGACAGACAGACGGACGGACGGTGGACAAAATGTGATCAGAAAAGCTCACTTGAGCCTTCGGCTCAGGTGAGCTAAAAACTGTACCATAGGATTGTATGTTATAGTCTCGGGCAAAGAGAAAAATTAAAGAATGCGTGGGTTTAAAAATTCAATTCCAGATTTTAAATATTGCATCGAATAAATAAAATTTCATAGTGTCTTATTTTTCATAATAACACTACGATGTTTTTCCGATGTAATTTTAGAAACAGACTTTTAGCCAATCAAATTCGAGGTCTAATTCTTTGCCCGATACTATAATATACGATTCTATGGTATAGTTCGACTTTTCCACTCTGCGAGTAGAGTTTTGACGCTGTTTACAGAGATTAAAGAAAACAAGGAAAAGCAAGCTATATATCGTTGTATAGATAAATTATCGTAGATGACATAGGTATAAACAGTTTACCTGTGCATTTCCTCTAAAAGTGAGCGCGATTCTAAGGGAGGCGGTCCTAGGTGTAAATCGGAGTTAGATACCTTGTGTAATTATTATACTATGGGTCAAAAATTTATTACAGAAACAAGTGCCTGTGATATTTCTATGTAAAACTTCGGTTGGCCATTTTGGCCCCGCCCTACCCCCGGAGGTCATGATTTGAACAAACTTGAATCTACACTAACTGAGCATGCTTCCATATAAATATGATGAATTATGGCTTTGTCATTCTTGAGAAGAAGATTTTTAAAGAATTTTCCTATATATTTCCATGTAAAACTTTGGTCGACCATTTTGGCCCCGCCCTTCCCCCGGGGGTCATGATTTGAACAAACTTGAAACTATACTAACTGAGCATGCTTCCATATAAATATGATGAATTATGGCTTTGTCATTCTTGAGAAGAAGATTTTTAAAGAAATTTCCTATACATTTCTATGTAAAACTTTGGTCGGCCATTTTGGCACCGCCCTACCCCCGGGGTCATGATTTGAACAAACTTGAATCTACACTACCTGAGGATGTTTCTCCATAAGTTTCATCTTTCCTGGCACAGTGGTTCTTGAGAAAAAGATTTTTAAAATATGCCACCAAATTTTCATTAATTCCCAATTATCTCCCCTTGAATGGGGGCGTGGCCCTTCATTTGAACAAACTTGAATCCCCTTCATCCAAGGATGCTTTGTGGCAAGTTTGGTTGAAATTGGCCCAGCGGTTCTTGAGAAGAAGTCGAAAATGTGAAAAGTTTACAGACAGACAGACAGCTAGACAGACGGACAGACAGACAGACGGACGCCGGACAAAATGTGATCAGAAAAGCTCACTTGAGCTTTCAGCTCAGGTGAGCTAAAAAATCTTTCATTTATAAACTTAGTAGCTTGTTAAACAAGATTTATAATGAAAATCTTTTATAGTTTTCTTGTGTATTTCAAGAAAAATGTCAAAATGTATACACTGTATCTTGATATGACTAACTGGTTAATTGATTAGAACATCTTGCGGTTAACCAATTAGCAATTCTGCAATTGATTGCCATCCCTAGTAATTACCACTACATACCACTTAGTCCAGTGTATTTACCACTACATACCACTTAGTCCACTGTGATTACCACTACTTTCCCTTTAGCCCAATGTATTTACAACTACTCACCACTTCATCTAGTATAAATACCACTCCTTTCCTTTTATTCCAGTGTAGTTACCACTTCTTACCACTATAATGGTAATTATACTTACCACTATAATGGCAATCCTGCCTCCCACATCTCCCACAACATTCAATGGCGGCTTCTCCTTGGGCATTAAAGCTAAACAGAAGAATTGTACTGTAGCTTAATATAACTTCAAATATTATCAGTTCAGGTGAAATTTTTAACTGTGTTATAATACTTAAACTCTTTTTTTTATTGAACTCATTTAGATATTTATAATGATGATATTGATTTAATAACCATGCTTTTTATAATGCCTGAATAAATTCCAATATTTAAACAATATTTAAACACTAATACTTGGAATTAAAGATTAATATTGCCTCAGGGTTTCACTCAATAAGCTTGGGAGATAAATTCATAAATTTAAAACAGTGATATGTTAAGAGCCAGTATGCAGCTAATGTACTTTTATAATGCAAATAATGCAATGTTAGCTATACAGCGAGTGCCTCATATAAAAATAATTGCAGCACTTGATATTAAGCTATATACATGAATGAATACAATGAAAACAGTTTTAAGTTAAGCATTCTTTCTTTTTAGGCCAAATGCCCTCTTCAAATATAGCCTACACCGTATTTTACTGGCTATCTCTTATGAGCCTAATTATTTCTCACTCGCATCTGGAAGTGCATTAAAAGATACAAAAAAATACACAAGTACAAGCAAATGCCTGTTTTTCAGTGTAGCTTCAACTTAGCTTACTGGCCTTTTGTTTGGAGTCCCAGAATATCGGCATAGGCTGCTACATGAATTGATACCAGATTTACATTTAACAACATATATGTTACATTTTGTCAGAACTTTACAGCTTACTGAGCAGCAATGAAATGACAAAACGTACTTGGCAGGATTTCAATCTTTTTATATTCTACTCTGGACGGCGGTGGCGGCGAATTTCTTCCATCTTCCTTGTCTTCATCATCGTATTTCTCCTCGCCGTGGATGACAGCGATTCCTAATCGCAGTCGCTCAGCATAGGACGTGGCTCGCTTTACAGAATTTGGATTGCGTGCAACAATGATTGCATTTCTGTAGTCTGGAATCTGAAGCAGATAAGATTTTTTAAAGAAACTTCAATTCGCATTTCCCAGCAGAACTTATGATACCAATTAAACAACATCATTGGAAACCCTGGTATGCCAATCACTTATTGATAAGTGATACATGTGAAACTGGCCGTGGGTTTCCGATGATGATTAAACAACAACACACTTCAATTTGCATTTCTAAGCTTCCAAGCATAATTTATGATACAAAACAATATCTAGAGCAAACTTGTATTTCAATCTTCTGATGAAAACATTGATATATAATACTAGTATTTTATGACTGATAATTTGAGGACAGAAGCACCTCATATTCTTACCAATCTTTCTATGTAGTCAATAAGAAATGGAGAGGCCCGTAAATTTTCCACTGGAATGTCAAAAAATCCCTGAATTTCTTTCTGATGGAGATCCATGGTGATAAGATGAGTTAAACCTGTACCAAAATGAACTTCAAAAATTGATATACAATATATACAAGTTTGTTAAAAGTTTGATTACCAATGTCCTGCATGATGTAAAAGATAATTTAGATACCATATCTAAATATCTTTTTCTTAATGTTAAATAATTACTTGTACTTTATATTTTATTTATTTGTTGTCATAAATGAAATATACCACAGTCCAATCCACACATTGCAATAGTTATGTCCCTTTGCGGAGTGCTCCCATAAATCCAGTGCGTTAAAATTTTTTCTCTCAATATATATGTAACCCCAGTCTGGGGAAATCAATATACCGTACAAGATGCACAGAATTTTTCCTGTCAGATAACAAAGTTACAAACCAGAAAACTATAAAGGCTACTGTGAGGATTCTATAAGTTTTCCCCCAAAGATGGTGGCCAAGGGACATAACTTTTGAAAAGTGAGGGTTAAACTATACTTTGCAGGGTAATTGTTAAAGAGGAGGGTGATAACTAGTAGGGGTGTGCAATATTACCGGTATATCGGTATATTGCGGTACTATCCACCACGATAATACATGTATATCGCGATATGAAAATCAGATATCGGTATTTCACGATATTTATATAAAAATTAGTGTTGGCAACGAGTACCCGGTTAACCGGTTAACCGTCGAACGATGCGAGTATCGGTTAGTAAAATTACTATTCGGTTACTCGGATAAAATGCATCTTATATGGTAAATAACTAAAAAATAAATATTAATTTGTTTATAAGCATACAAATAAATATTTCTCTAATTTACTTTACCGTTAGATTTAATGATTTATGGTTTCACTAATACGATTGATTGGTTTTCACACTTAATTGATAGCTTTGATTAATTTAACAAGATGCCGCCAAAGACATGTACATGCATAGTTTGGAAGTATTTTTAAAGAACAGCTGATTCCATAACTGTAAAATGTAACTAATGTGATTGGAGTTATCGTGACTTCAAATTTCTAAATAATTATTATCCTTGATTGTGACATATATCGGGGGTTGAAAATAAAAACTGATGAACCCCATTGTAAAAAAGTGTGAAACATTGAATTTTGTTTTTTCTTCTGATTTGATAAATTCTTTGATTATAACTATATTTAAAAATTTAAGATGTTGCGTGCGTGTTTCTTTAAGTTTATAAATAAAGCTAATTCACAATACATTTGTGTTTTATTAGAACCGATGAGTAAAAGATGAGATAAATGATACATATGAATAAATCATCCGAGTAACCGGGTACTCGATCGGAAGATTGAGCGAGTAACCGGTTACTAAAAATCGTCCGATTTGCCAACACTAATAAAAATATATAAAAACCTCCTTTATTGTAGAAACTGTTAAAATAAAACTGGAAACTTCTAAGTCTTTTTCTTTCTCGTTGAAAGAATTCTTCGTCAGTTTCGTTCGGGAGAGAGAAAGAGAGAGGAGAGAGAGGGGGGTGGAAGCTTTTAATTCACTGCTGCAGTTTTGAATATCTTACTTTGAAATAAAATTACTAATTAATAAGACTTTAAAATAAAATTTATAAGGAAGAAAATATATAAAACATTTTTACAGGGTGTATACCATATGCATTGCGGTTCTCAAAATCTCACATTGAATCTACACGATCGACATCGCGGTGAAATGTCAAGTTCAATATACATGTACATATTACAAGTAAATGGTCATCCATGTTTTCACTTGTAGCAGTGTTGTTTTAATTATTTTTAATAACTTTCATGCCATTTTAAACACCTTATGCTATAGCAGGAGCATGTATATATTAAAACAGGCCATTTCCTGATTATACGTCTTGATGTGAAATTAGGTCGGGTTAGACTAAAGTACCAAAACACACGAAAACAGTAAATTGTAACCACAATAAAATTATTTTCATAAAGGCCTAATATGTATATTGTTTTAATCTTTAATAACATTTTATGCTACTTCATTAACCCCCCCCCCAAAAAAAAGAATTCAATGAAAAAAGATTATATAATCTGTAAAAATTTTTATTTCAATGTGAAAATTCTCCAAGAGAGTTCATCTTGTTTTACTATTTTACCTGGAATTTGATCAAAAGTAAAGTGAACTTGACAGCATTTCAAACATTCTGCTCAAATTTATTAATGATAATTAATCTACAATATATTGCAATATATTGCAATATTCAAAGTAAAATATTGCAATATATCGCAATATGGATTTCCTTCGCAATACCCAACTCTAATAACTAGATCTAGAGGAGGAGTTTTAGATGTAGAATTTGTTTCCTCAGAAGACTGACTCTGCAATTCCTGAAAGAGAAAATCTACTCTGGATTCTTAAGGGGGAATCCTATTGTAGTGTTACCATTCTATGTAGAAATCCTACTCAGTGCATTTAGCTCTCCAAGAGGAAAAATGGAAATCCTGCTCTACAAAACTGGTATGGGTCTCAGACGCCTTATTAATTGTTAGAGTTTCTATTCCACACTAGACAAATTACCTGACTTTCCTAACATGGTCGCCATCACTTTACAGATGACCGAGCCTCTTTTCCGCATTTTGCTCTGTTTGGAGTACGGGAGGTACGGAATCACGCCAATGATGTTGTGAGCAGCGCTCGTTTTACATGCGTAGGATATGATGAGCAGCTCCATAATATCATTGTTGACATCCCTGTTTATATAAAATTTGTAGGATGAGAGGAAGTTGAAAATGTAAAAAGTTTACAGGAGTACGGATGGATGGATGGATGAACAGCTGATAGTCAAAGATCAGAAAAGCTTCTAATAAAATTACTTCTACATATCCATAGTATTCAAAATATGAGTATTTAAGATACCAAAGTTCAACTGTATATCTTATATAGGCTAATGTTTCTGATATTAGCAAGACATCAACATTACTATCTATCAGATAATTCACTTACTTGGTGCCAGTTTGTATGATGTAAACATCTTTTCCTCTAACTGACTCCTTGATTTCTACATTTGTTTCTAAAATTAATAAATCTGAGAAATCAGTTTCTTCAATCCCTTTAGTGAAAAATTCAAATTAATTAGTTTCAGGCTAATAATTACTTTATATATAACTTTATTTGAAATTTCAGAAATTCAATTTTGAATTTATAGGTAAAAAAAGAATTCTTTGATACAAATGTACATAATGTAAATTAAACAGATACAACAGGCCCAGGGGCCACATTGTTCACCTGAGCACTGTGTTTACGATAAAACCAAAGATCAGTTTAGCATTGAAAATATTAAATGGATAAGTGGTTCAGGGGGATAATTACATATTTTTTTAATAACTGATTTTTTTTCCTGCAAATTAATACTTTCACTGTGGACACATCCAACTCTGGGGGTCATGATTTGAACAAACTTGGAACTAACTGAGGATGCTTAAATTCAAAACTTTGATCCTGCATTGTAGCCCCCATCCTTGGGTCAAGATCTGAACAAACTTGAATCTACACTCTCTTACAATGATTCCACACGAGTGTCATCTTTCCTGGTCCATATTGCTTCTTATTTTTAAATGAGAAAAAGATTTTTCAATAATGCAATTTATTTTTTGCTAATTTGTTATTATCTCCTTTTCAAGGAGAGCATGTCCCTTCATTTGAACAAACTAGAATCCCCTTTATGTAAGGATATGCTGTGTCAACCTTGATTGAAATTGGCCCAGTAGTTCTGGAGAAAAAGATATAAAATTGTGAAAAGTTTACAACAATGACAGACACTGACAAATTTCTATCAGAAAAGCTCACTAGCACCTTCAGCTCAGTAGAGCTAAAAAAAGAACAATGCAAAGAAGCAAAATCGTTCATTCCTGGTACTTCATCATAAGTGTGTTTTACTCTGTTACTGTTTAAAAAATGTATAAAAACATATACCCACCTCTGTTAGTTTTGTGATAAACATTGATGTCACCTAATCTTACTCCAAGTCTCCTATAATGGTAAGATTGTGTTTAGTTTAAAATCTTAGTCAAAAAATATTATACATGGCATGAAAAAAATAGGTAAGACAACTCTTGCAGTTTCACTCTAGCTTTCTTGGCAATATTTCTAATTGGTATATTTATTTATATTAACTTATATATGTGTTGACATTTCACTCAAACCTACTTAAAACATACACCTTCAAAATTATTTTGATATTTTTCTGTGTCTCTGGTAAATGGTGAATGACCAGTGATGCAAGCAGCTGCCCAATGGAGATAAATAAACAATGATAATAGACTATTTTGTTTCCATTTTAGCGTAAATTTAAGGAAGTTTCTTACTGTGCAATTAGTTGTGACAATTCTGGATGAGAATTCCCGCATAACAGTACCATGGGACATTTCTGTCCTGGGTCCAGTGCCATTATGCTGCTGTTTGTCTTTTTAATACGTTCTAGTTTTGGTTTTGTCTCAGCATGGTATATTGACCTTGACCGTGGAATTGACTTATGGCGGCAAGCATGTGCTTATACAAGCAGTTAGCCAGTATGCATAGTTTATTGATATTTTGCAGATGACTTTGTTTAGAGTTGGTTTAAAAACTTGCCAACTACTTGCACGTCATAATTTAAAAGGTTTCAAATCTTTTAACATGGAATCGCCGTATTTTAATCAACGTACAACTAGATCCTGTTTTACTGTGAAAGTGAAAGTAGAAACTGATGCTCAGCAGCTGCAAGAGTCGTCCAACACAACAAAAAATAATGCCCCGCTGAGGAAAAGGAAAATAAAGGAAAAGGTGGAAATAAAGTACGAAGAGTCTGAGACAGTCGACATTGTGAAGAAAGAAATTTGTAACTGGGAACCCCCAATGTGGAGGGAGCAGCTGAAAAATATTTACGAGATGAGGAAAAACAGGGATGCTCCTGTAGATTCCATGGGTTGTGATGTTATAAGCGACGCTCTTGCATCTCCGGAGGTAAAGTTTTGGTATGACAAACTCTGGATATCTGTATATATTCCATTCTGTATTCAATTTCAGTGCATGTAGTTATCACAGATCAGCTGGTGGGTCACACTGACACTGCATCTGGAACTAAAATTACCCTCAGATTTAACATCCAATGCTAAATGGATAAACCAACAGTAGCTGCAGACCGGCAACATTATGTTTTGTATATTATAGTCTTTGACCATGATAGCACTACAGATATGCCAAATTTTAGTATTTGGTGCAAGATTTTCTGTGAACGATTGAGGAGAATTTCTTCTCTTTCCAGCATTGGTCAATCAACTAACTCACTATTTATATTACACAGCCATTGTTACTTTTATAATGGGAGAGGAGAAAATGCAGCGGACCAGACCGGAATTCGAACCCAGGCCCCCTGAATCTCCCGTCTAGTCCGCTGCATTTTCTCATCTCCTGTTACATTTGGTGCTGTGCCATGCCATGCCATGGAACTGACAGGTTACTGAGAGGCCTGCAAGGGATGAGCCTGGGTTTGGGTCTTTGGAGGGCCAAAGACCCCAAAGGAGGGAGGAATGTGGCAGTCAGTCGTGTTTGATCGCTGGTGGCCAGATAGCTCAGTTGGTAGAGCACCTGACTGAAGATTCAAGGAGCCCAGGTTCAAATCCCGGTCCGATCCGCTGCATTTTCTCCTCTCTCATTTCATTTTTAACTCTGTTTCATTGTCATAGAATTCAAAAATAACATATTTTAACTTGCTTAATCAATTTCTTATGCACATGATTCTCACCTATATGTACATGTCCTAGATAAGCTTTTTTTTTTTTTTAGAAAGTTGAGCTCATGTAAATTAAATCTATCTTAATTAAGTTCTCCAGTTTTGCAATTTCACTCAATTTCAAAATTTAAACCTACCATAAGTCCAGTTTATACTTTACTTCAAGCTGAGATCATATCTGAAAAAAAAAAGTTGTGTAACAGATTTTTAAATATTCAGCTGTTCTTGCTTTTGTTAATAAAGGCATAAGACACTCATGTTAAACAGACTTATTGAAGGAGATCAATGTTCAGCACCTATGTTGACATTTTCTATTCATTAGGTGAATGAATACATATATTCAAAGCCTTGAAAAAGAAGATGTATGAGCAACCAGTTTTCAAAATTTTACGTCAATTTAGATTTTACAAGTAGATTGACAACCCTGAAAATATTCTTTTTTATGCAGAGTATTCTATAAAAGTTTCAAATTATGCAAACAATTCAGCATAAATGTGTTATTTTTCTCATATCTGAAATAGGTGTACAGATACCAAGTCCTAGTTTCACTCATGCTCTCAAGTCAAACGAAGGACCAGATAACATCAGCGGCCATGAAGAAGTTGAGGGAGCATGGATGCAGCATTGACAGCATACTGCAGACTTCAGATGAAGTTTTAGGACAGCTGATTTATCCTGTTGGTTTCTGGAGGGTACGTTTACTGATTTAAGGATTTCCATCCCTAATGGGACCTAATTCCCTACCCTGAAATGTTCGTCAAGTACATAATACACTGACATTATATTAAAGCAATTTATAGTGGAAAAGGATTGCCCACGAGAAATTTTCAAAATTTTCATTAATTAAGCAGTAGTTAATTAGCAAAGATTGCATTGAAGTCTATGGGGAAAAGCGTTTTTTTCAAAATAAAAATTCAAATAATTTGAATATCAATAAACCCTGCAGTGGAAAGATGCATTGAAACATTAAAAATAGAATGACAATTGAAAACAATATTTTTACCAGGTAAATTTTTTTAATTGATTTTTTTTTATTAATTAAAAAAAGGGGAGACAACTCTTACCAAAATTCAAGGTCATGAATTAGGACACATCTCACTTTACATTCATATAGTAATAAATGGAAAGTATATGTCTAAATAAACTGAGATTCAATGCCTACTACATATCTGTTATGTTTTCAATTTCATTGAATTTGTTCCTATTAGGATTTGAAAACCTTAAAGAAATGTTATACTTAATTGTGCTAAAGCAAGGTTAAAAGATGAATGTTTACTTGTGTATTATGTGCATGAATTTAAATAGAGCCCCTGTGTACATGTATTTTGTTGTAGAAGATCTATGCTAAAATAACATTTTAACACTTCTGCATTTCAAGAGAAAGTCAGTATTACATTTCCTCCCCGTCATTTTGTCATGTTTAGTTGTAGTAAACTAAAACCTAAGATAATTGTAATTTTAGGGAGGCATGTGCAAAAATTTATTCAATTTTCAAATATGTTGTAGAGAAAAGTGGAGTATATAAAGAAAACAAGCAAAATTCTACAGGATGAATACAATGGAGATATTCCACAGTCCGTGGAGAAGTTATGTAAGCTGCCAGGAGTTGGACCCAAGATGGCCTATCTGGTGATGAAGTGTGCCTGGAATCAGGTTCAGGGTATTGGAGTGGACACGCATGTTCACAGGATTTCCAATCGGCTTGGCTGGGTCAAAAAGCCGACCAAACAGCCAGAGGATACAAGGAAAGCACTGGAGGACTGGTTACCAAGGTATCATTTTATAATATGCATATTAAATACAGAAGCCACTTGGTCTTGAATTTACTGGTAAATTTATTTCATTTGACTCTGGGCAAACATATTAACGTATACATTCAAGCAATTAAATATATGTTCTTTGAACACTCTATAATGTTTTTCATCTATTCATGGATTGAGTAATAGATCCTGTACTTTGAAGTGACTAAATTTCATGGAGGTTTAATTTTTGTTGATTTCATGGTATGAAGAGACTATATTAAAATATTATAGTTCTTTGCAAGAGTATAAATTGATTAAAGTCTATCCTCGACCGATGAAATCGAATCCCGGAAACCATATTTTCCCCTCAACCTACAAAAATTTTACTCCTTGAAACAAGTAATTTTACAGTACATCTCATAGCTATGTTGCAGTAAAAAATACAAACAATTTATTTGTTACAGGGAAAACTGGAGTGAAATCAATCATTTACTGGTTGGATTTGGTCAACAGACTTGTCTACCAGTAGGACCAAAGTGCTACCAATGCCTGAATAAACCCATCTGTCCCTTTGGCAAAACAAATAATAAGACACCTTCCCCAAAGAAAATCAAGAAGGAAGAGGTCAAAGAAGAAACTGAATGAATTAATCGGCTTGGCTTGTACACCTGCTGCTACTTGCATAGCACTTTTACTTAATATGCAAGAAAGAAAAAGATATAAACTGTTATTCAGAATGTTTAGAGAGATATGTATACAAGTATATACATTTGTTTTGTTTTAATTTTACCAATAGATTTTTAGGTCATCTGATTAAACTCAGGTGACCTATTGCTATCTGTTTTCATCTGTCATGCACCGTGTGTTATCATTTGAACATTTTTTTCAGCTTCTTCAATTCAACCACTCAACTAATTTTGGCATAAATCATCTATGAGTGAAGGGGAACAAAAATTGTGAAATTCATGGCCTCTTGTTAAAAAAAGGAACCAAATTCAATTGTTAAAAAGTTGTTACATGATTCTCAGGTGATCTATAAGGCCCACGGGCCTATTGTATAGATTTATTTTTTTTACAAACATGTATACGTGTTCAATTTTAAATAATTTAATTTCACTTGTATCAAGCAATGTCGTTGGCTGAATCATCCAGAGGAACATATAATATTTTGTATAACATACTGTAAACCAACTTTTATTCGCAACGACTTTATATCGCGATTTGCCGGGGGTAAACCAGTTAGCGACGATTAGTTTTCGCAATAAAAGCCTAGTTAGGTTTCCTTTTATTAGACACATAAGACTTTAAGAACCGGTTCGCGGCGAAAAATATTCGAGATGACGAGGCCCTCGCGAAAATTTCTCGCACGCGAATAAAAGTTGGTTTACAGTAACTTGCCTACGTCACAATGAGTTATGTCAAAAACGTATTACTCCGCTTGACGTTACTTTTAAAATAATGCTCAATTTGAAGCCTTTTTACGGAGGAAATATTGTCTCATTGTCTACACTGAAATTAAATTATAAGGAATAAAGCTAATTTCAACTTATGTTATCTGATATAACAAAACTTGGAGCAGTTTACGCTTTTTTATAAACCGCTTTGCGGTTTATAAAGCGTAAACTGCCCCAAGTTATGTTATATCGAATAACATAAGTTGAAATTAGCTTCATTCCTTAAATAATTTAATTTTGGTTGTAATGCGTCATTTGATTTGATAACAAATTAATCTAAATTGTTTTATCTGGTTTGCTTACGTCACAATGACTTGCGTCAAAATCGTATCAATCCACTTGACGTTACTTTAAAATATGAACAATTTGAAGGCGTTTTAAAGAGAGAAATTGTCTTGTTTAATATTCTTAATGATTGAAAATTAAATTATAAGGAATGAATTAAATAGCAACCCAAATTATACTGCTATAACCTGGGTTGGAGCAATTTATGCTTTTTTACAGCCACTTCGGGGTTAATAAAGCGTAAACTGCCCCAACCCAGGTTATACAGTATAATTTGGGTAGCTATTTAAATCATTCCTTAATGATTGAGGGAATTGGCTTGTTTTTGGATCCAAAAGTCAGCCTGAACTGATGCCCTATGAAGCATTTTGTTCAGACATTTTATTCAGACAGTAAGCATGATGGTTGTAAAATTACTGGTAAAAAAAGTTGTTTGCTCTGATGAAAAGAATGTAAAAGATCTCAGTATTCTTTTAAACGTCATTTATGTCTTGACTGGTCAGTAAAGCTACAATTCATTGAAAAGTAAATGGCATTCTTTAATATCAGTGACTTTATCTCATTTACATGTACCACCATAATTAATGTGTTCAAATATATTTTCAGTATACCTCATTTATTACATCGCTATATTCAAATTATGTCCTGTAAGTTAAATGGATCTATAATAAAATCCCACACAATATTGCTGTGTAATTTGTTTGATCTTCTTTGAAATTCATCTACCAAAATTAATGAAATTTATGGCCCTGGGGTCAGAAGATCTAATTCTAGTGTAGGGCTCTTGATTATATAAAGAAACTGATTTTTTAGCTCACCTTGATGAAGTCGAGAGGAGCTTATGCTCTACCCCTTGCGTCGTCTGTGTCGGCATCCTGGTTAAAGTTTTTGGAGCAGGTCCATTCCCAAGTAACTATAAGCCCTACCTGGACCAAACATGCATGGATGATGCATTTAAGGATTGACACTACCAGACTTGCTTCAGATGCTGGATGTGACCTACATTTTCCAGATGAGTGACCAGGTTAAAGTTTTTGTAGCAGGTCCATTCCCAAGTACCGGTAACTATAAGCCCTACCCAGATCAAACTTGCATGGATGATGCTTTTCTGATAGAAATTTGTTAGTGTCTGTCATTGTTGTAAACTTTTCACAATTTTATCTTTTATTCAAGAACTACTGGGCCAATTTCAATCAAGCTTGACACAGCATATCCTTACATAAAGGGGATTCTAGTTTGTTCAAATAAAGGGGCACGCCCTAACATAATAATAACAAAATAGCGAAAAATTAAGATAAGCTAAATTATAGGTTCGTTTGTTTTGTTTTTTTTTAGAAAGTTGAGCTCATGTAAATTAACTCTATCTTAATTAAGTTCTCCAGTTTTGCAATGTTGCACTCAATTTCAAAATTTAAACCAACCATATTTCCACTTTATACTTTACTTCAAGCTGAGCTCACATTAGAAAAAAAAAGTTGTGTAACAGATTTTTTAAAAAATCAGCTGTTCTTGCTTTCTTTAATACAGGCATAAGACACTCATGTTAAACTGACTGATTAAGGGAGATCAATGTTCAGTACCTATGTTGACATTTTCTGGAACTGATATTCATTAGGTGCATGAACACATGTATTCAAAGCCTTGAAAAAGAAGATGTATGAGCTACCAGTTTTCAAAATTGTACATCAATTTAGATTTTACAAATAGATTGACCACCTTGAAAAATATTCTTTTTTATGCAGAGTATTCTATAAAAAATTTAAATTATGCAAACAATTCAGCATATATGTGTTATTTTTCTCATATCTGAAATAGGTGTACAGATACCAAGTCCTAGTTTCACTCATGCTCGATCTCAAGTCAAACGAAGGACCAGATAACTTGAGCTGCCATGAAGAAGTTGAGGGAGCATGGATGCAGCATTGACAGCATACTGCAGACTTCAGATGAAGTTTTAGGACAGCTGTTTTATCCTGTTGGTTTCTGGAGGGTACGTTTACTGATTTAAAGAAATTTCATACTTATTTTATGCTAAAGCAAGGTTACTGTAAACCAACTTTTATTCGCGTGCAAGAAGTTCCGCGACCTCCGTCAACTCGCGAATAATAATAGCCGCGAACCAGTCATTTTGCTAAGGATTTGTAGAAAATGTTTCCTCGCTCGCGGAAATTAATCGTCGCGGATTGATTTTGAACGGACGAATCGCGAATAAAAAATGATGACGCGAATAATAGTTGGTTTACAATAAAAGATGAATGTTTACTTGTGTATTATTTACATGAATTTAAATAGATCCCCTGTGTACATGTATTTTGTTGTAGAAGATCTATGCTAAAATAAAATTTTAACACTTCTGCATTTCAAGAGAAAGTCAATATTACATTCCTTCCCCGTGATTTTGTCATGTTTAGTTGTAGTAAACTAAAACCTAAGCTAATTGTAATTTTAGGGAGGCATGTGCAAATCAGGGATGGGGTAATCGTAATCAGTAATCGTAATCAGTTGTAATCGATTACAGTTTGTCAAGTAATCATGAGTAATCAGTAATCATCCATTTTTCTGATTACAAGTAATTGTAATTTAATCGATTACTGTGAAAAAAGTCCTGTAATCATGATTACTTTTTGATTACTTTATGATTACAATTATTAAAACAAAGTTCATAAAATCATGATTTTTGATGATTTTCAGTGAATATTTTTCAGTGTATAAAATTGTTTATTAAAAAAGTTATTATAGAGTTATAAGCTATATTTAAGTATCTTCTTCTAATGCCTCCAGAAATGCTTATAATCAGGTCCATTGTCCTGGCAATGTGTAAATTCTATCAGTTCCTTGCAATATTCAGTAGTCATTTCAAAATACTCTAGAGCTTAGCAATTCGCTATTTTTGACAAGATATATGCATATACTGATAGAAAATCACTACAGGATCATTTTAAAGTTTGATTTATTTTTGTCTCACTTAATGAACATTTGTGTAATGCAACAATTTGTTTTCCCTGTATATCTTTGAAAAAATTAACTTGTATTTTTTTTTTAAATAGCAAATGTTCTTTTATTGAGACATATTCTAAAATTCACTTTTTCGATTTACAGTGTACATAAAAAGATGTGAAATAATTAGTCATAAGACACAGATATACTAAAGTTGGGCCAGCTTGGGTGATAGTGATTATTGAACTATACATGCTTGTCCAGTTAATGTGTTAATTCTAGTAAAAACATCTAATAATTGGCAGTTTAATTGAAAAGTCCATCACTGTTCAAGATGAACAGAGAGTGCTATATGGAGAAAATAATGATGAACACGGTGAAAACGGTGAATGTGCATTTGAAGAATCGGAATTAAACGCTTCCAAAATACTTGCTTCCTTAAAATCCTTCATGAAGTCAAGTGAATCAAAACAAGAAACTACAAATAAAAAATTGGATGAAATCTCATTCAAATTAAATAAGCTAGATCGCATAGAGCGAAAGTTGAGCAGTGTTGAGAGCAGGGTGGTTGCATTAGGAATACGAGTCGACACAATTGAAAAGAAAAATGAAGAACTCGAGAAGAGTATTTCGTTTGTATCTTCAAAATTTGATACTGACTCTAAAAAGATGGAAGGGTTATCTGTTGAAATTAGAAAAAGATTTCACGACCAAGACAAAGCTATACGAGAAATAAATGACCAGATGAAAACAATGAAAAATGAAAAAACGAATACAACAGGAGCGGTAAAAGACATTAAACGCCACGAAAATACAATTATGACGCTCTCACGAGGACTAGAAAATCTGAGAAAGGACCGTGAACATCTTCAAGGGCAGATTACTGATCTACAGTGCAGATCGATGAAGATGAACCTAGTCTTCACTGGACTTGGAAAAGAATACCCAAGAGAAGATACTGAATGGAAACTTAGACAATTTCTGTCCATTGAACTTGGGATCGATGAACACATTGAATTTTCGAATGTACATCGCTTTGGACGTTTTACCCGGGGTCGACCCAGGCCAATAGTGGCTAGATTCGTATACCAAAGAGATGTAGACCTGGTGTTAGATTGTGCATATCGCTTGAAGGGCAGCCTATATGGAATACACCAACAATTTCCAGCTGTTGTGGAAGATCGCAGAAGGGCCCTCTACCCGGTGATGAGGCAGTTCCGCGAACAAGGTGACACGGTTAGGATGGTTAGGGATAAACTTTTCGTGAACGGCCAGTTATACGATCCAAACTATGACGAGGAGTTCCAGGATAGCGGCCCAGAGGAACCCGTGAGAGGACCCGCCCCAACGGAGGAGCCCGTCAGAGGATCCGCCCCAATGGAATTCACTCATTCAGGACAACCAGGATACTAGGGATTTGAGGAGGATGGACGCCTATCCAGTGATGAAATATCCTCTTTTAAAATTGTTTCACTTAATGTTTGTGGTTTAATTAGTAAAATTAACTGTACAGAATTTATCGAATATCTCACAAATTATGATATCATATGCGTAAATGAATCTAAAACTGATAACACAGATCATGTAATAATACCTGGTTTTAAAATGTTTGGAAAGCACCGTCGCGAGTTATCTCGCTTTAAATCGGGTGGTATTGTTGTTTTTGTTAGAGAAACACTCGTCAATTCATTAGAATTAGTAGATTCTGCAAGTAAATATTGTTTATGGTTAAAATTCAACCTTAATAAAAAAGTGTTAAATGAAACATTACTTTTAGGCGCTGTTTACATACCACCTGAAAATTCTAAATATGTATCTTGTGATGTTTTTGAAGAATTGGAAGAAGAATATGTTCGTTTTTCTAACAAGTGTAAATATGTTTGTTTAATTGGTGATTTTAACGCAAGAACTGGAATAGACCCAGATTACATTACTAACTGTGACACTTATTCTGACTTTTTACCTGAAAGTTTGTATGTATTAGACTTACTTAATATCCCACCGCAACGGTCATCAAAAGACTTAATCAAGAATAATTTTGGCAAACTTTTACTCGATTTTTGTAAACATACTGATCTTTTTATTTTGAATGGTCGTATGGGAAATGATAGATGTATTGGTAAAACTACATGTAAAGGTATTAGTGTAATAGATTATTGCATAGGTAATACTGAATTTTTGACTGTTGTTAAAAATTTCGAAGTTCATGATTTTTCGAAACTTTACTCTGATTGCCATAATCCTATTTATGTAGAACTATCATTGACAATTAACCAAGAGAAGCGAAATACTAATAATGAAAATACCTGTAATAACGAACAAAAAGATAAAGTTAAAGGTTGGAATGACGACTTGCAACACATTTTTCTTGAAAAATTAGGTCAGAAAAATATTGAAATTAACAATTTATGTGGAATTCTTGACAATATTAAAGAAGAAGAAATCGATCTAGATTTTGTTGACAAAATTGTAGACGATACCTGTAACATTCTTATATCAAGTGCAAAGGAAACATTTGGGATAAAAAATAATCGAAGAAAATCAAAGATAGATTTTCACCAACCATGGTTTACAATAGAATGTTACCACGCACGACAAACATTTCGTAAGGCTAAAAAACGCTACCAGAGAAATAGATGTAAAGATCTCAAAGACGATATGTATAGTAAAGAAAAAATATATAAAAAATTGTTGAATATGTGTGTAAATAACCATAAAAATCAAACGAAAGAAAAATTGAAAAAACTAAAATCAACAAACCCGAAAGAATATTGGAAAATAATAAACTCTGGCCAAAAAAATAGAAAAAATGTTAATGCATCTGCTGAGGAATTATATGAATTTTTTAAAGATTTAAATATGGAAAAAAATAATGAAATACCTGACTATGTTTTATCAAATGAGGATATAGATATTCTTTCTAATTTACAGTGTAATGAGTCTATAAATGAATCGATAACTTGTGATGAAATAATGCAAAGTATAAAAAGTCTTAAAAGAAACAAATCATGTGGAAGTGATGACATATACAATGAATATATCAAAAGTTCATGTAACATAATGGTGCCCCTCTATCAAAAAATATTCAATAAAATTCTTGACAGCGGTTGTTTCCCCTCCGATTGGTTGTGTGGTGAAATAATCCCTATCTATAAGAATAAAGGTGATGATACTGAACCCAAAAATTATCGCCCAATAACTCTAATTAGTTGTATTGGAAAGCTATTTACATCTATTTTAAATAATAGACTTAATAGATATTCAGAAGAATTCAAAATAATACAGGAAAACCAAGCTGGATTTCGTAAAAATTATGGTACAACTGATCACATATTTACTTTGCATACAATCATCGAAATATTCAAAAAGATAAAAAAAAGAATTTATTGTGCCTTTATTGATTTTGAAAAAGCTTTTGATTCTGTATGGAGAATAGGACTCTGGAATAAAATACTATTTGATTGTAATATAGATGGAAAATGTTTTAGAATAATCAAGAAAATGTATGAGGGTATCAAGGCAAAAATTAGAGTAAATGGTGTTCTTTCAGATACTTTCCCTTGTCAACTTGGTGTAAGACAGGGTGAAAATTTATCCCCTTTTTTGTTCTCGCTCTATTTAAATGATTTAGAATCATTCCTCACCATGAATGATATAACTGGTTTAGAGAAAATATCTGAAATGATTGAGACTGAACTTCATGTGTATATTAAGCTTTTCGCTCTGTTGTATGCTGATGACACTGTTTTATTTGCTGAAAACCCTGAGTCATTACAAAATATGTTGAATTGTTTTCATGAATATTGTATAAAATGGCGGTTAAAAGTAAATGTCGACAAAACCAAAATAATGATTTTTGGAAAAGGTCGAATAACACATGATTTATATTTTTACCTATGATGGATTAAGTCTAGATATTGTTAAGAGCAAAAAGTCTAGATATTGTTGATAGTTATAAGTACTTAGGAATATATTTTTCAAAATCAGGTTCTTTTAATCAAAATATAAAAGAAAAATACAATAAATCTGTAAAAGCTATGTATGGAGTGATATCAAAATGTAAACAACATAATCTTTCTATGGATTGTCAGATAGATTTGTTTGACAGAATTGTACAACCAGTTTTGTTATATGGATGTGAAATATGGGGATTTACAAAAAATACTTTAATCGAAAAACTTCACTTAAAATATTGTAAATATATACTAGGTTTGAACACTAAAACGCCAAACTACATGGTGTATGGGGAACTTGGCAGATTCCCACTTATCATTAATATTAAGGTGAGAATGATTTCTTTTTGGGCAAAACTACATTTTTCTCAAACGATGGATAAATTTGCTACAAAAATGTATGTTCTAGCTTCAAGGCATAATTTGCCTTGGGTTAACTATGTTAAAAATATTTTAGATGATTGTGGATTATCTTATCTATGGACAACACAACAAATGTACAATGTAGCATGGGTAAAAAATGAAGTAAAAAGAATACTTGTTGACCAAAATATCCAAAACTGGCAAAGTAATGTTTTTAACTCATCAAAGGGTGTAAATTATCGTATTTATAAAGAAATACTAGAACCAGAAAGATATCTCGTTAATCTACCTAGAAAATTTTCAATTTTGTTATGCAAATTTAGATGTAGCAACTTTAAACTCCCTATTGAAACTGGGAGATGGTTTGGTATTCCAAGAGAACAAAGAATTTGTACTTTATGTGATTTTCATAAGATTGGTGATGAATTCCATTATGTCTTTGAATGCACACAAAAAGAAATTAAAGAGGCTAGGTTAAAATATATTTCAAACTCTTTCACATGTAGACCAAATATAGAGAAATTTAAACAACTTTTTACAACAACAAATTGTTCAGTATTGAAAAAATTATGTAAATTTTTATTGATTGTCAAACAAATTATAGATGAAAATAATTGACATGAACTTGAACATGATACTTTGTACTGTTTATAATGCATGTATTATATTTTTTGTATTGTGTTTGTACATTTTCCTACCTCCTCTCTACAATGTATGTTTGTACATTTAAGAGAATAAATCATTGTCATTGTCATTGTCATTGTCATTGTCAGAAGGTCAATTACTTGTGTAACAGTTCCCTATCAATCCCTTTAACCCTACCTATAATTATGTCCAATTTGATTTATAAAAAAAACTGTAATAAATTCTTTTTTCTAATTCTTTCAACAGTAACAAGATATTTACTTGTATTAAAGATAGAAATCAGGTGATATAAGATAAATGTCATGTATCTATATAAGGACATATACAACCAAACTTTGTCTAAATTCTACCTTAAAAATATGAATGCTATTTAAAAAAGGAAGAATAAAAACATGACGTACCTGAATATTATAAACAAAAAAATTAAAACTAAATGTAATCTAAAGTAATCATAAGTAATCATGATTACATGAAGGAAAAGTAATCAGATGTAATTGATTACTTTAAAAAATGTCTGTAATCAGCTTGTAATCGATTACTTTAAAAATCCAAAGTAATTGTAATTTAATCGATTACTTCTGAAAGTAATCAACCCCATCCCTGGTGCAAATATTTATTCAATTTCCAAATGTGTTGTAGAGAAAAGTGGAGTATATAAAGAAAACAAGCAAAATTCTACAGGATGAATACAATGGAGATATTCCACAGTCCGTGGAGAAGTTATGTAAGCTGCCAGGAGTTGGACCCAAGATGGCCTATCTGGTGATGAAGTGTGCCTGGAATCAGGTTCAGGGTATTGGAGTGGACACGCATGTTCACAGGATTTCCAATCGGCTTGGCTGGGTCAAAAAGCCGACCAAACAGCCAGAGGATACAAGGAGAGCACTGGAGGACTGGTTACCAAGGTAAACAAATGTTTCATTTTATAATATGTACATTTGATACAGACAAATATGAAGCCATTAAGGATGTGTGATTTTTATCGGTCTAGCTGCTTGAATAAGAGTACAGAAAAGTATTAATTCATTCTACATGTATACTGTAAAATCACATATTTTCGTGGGGTCAAATTTTGGTGGTTTGAGGGAAAAAGATTGGTTCATGGGGATTAGATTTCATGGATGGAGAATTGTTCAGTAGTAATATAAGTGAAAAATTACATTTCAAGGTGGACATAAATTCATGGGTCTCTTCATACCTCGATTTCAACAAAAATTAACCCCCCGAGAATTAGTGATTTTACAGTATATTTATACCCCCCGCTTGAAAAGCAGGAGGGTATATAGTAATCGTTAATTCCGTACGTCCGTCCGTCCGTCTGTTACGTTTTGGGGTACCCATCTCTTATCCGCAACTCCTCTCATGCCATTGAATGAAATTTGATGAAACTTTCCCAGAATCTTTATTACATATTGCCATTGTGCACCTCCTATTTTTGATCCGACACATATTTTGGGTTTCACAGCCACAGCAAAACATGGACATTATAACTATATGAAGGCGGGGGGTATCATTTAGTGAGCTCATTGCTCACAGTACCTCTAGTTCTTCTTACATTTACTTTGAATCAATTGCAAGATTTTAATAATGTTTATGCAGGGTAACATTAAAGGTCACTATCAAATTTCCTCTGAACAGTATATGGTTTTTCACCACTCTTGGATTAGGTAATCACTTGTCAAAGTTATGTTGCAGAGAAAACTGGAGTGAAATCAACCATCTGCTGGTTGGTTTTGGACAACAGACATGTTTACCAGTAGGACCAAAGTGCTACCAATGCCTGAATAAACCCATCTGTCCCTTTGGCAAAACATTTGACACCTTCCCCAAAGAAAATCAAGAAGGAGGAAATCAAAGAAGAAAATGATTGAATTTATATTGTACATCTGCAGCTTCTTGGCAAAAGCTTACCAGTACTTAAACAATAAGTTTTTGGGTCACCTGAGTTTACAGAGTTGTTTTACTCTGTTGAATTGAACAAAGATATTGTCGAAATGGGGAAAAACGGCTCGACGAGTTGTAATTGCATTTTTGCTTCAAAATATGGGAATTATCACAAACACAGTTGCTTTAATTAATCAGACTTACAGTATAAAGAATGTAAATAAGAAACATCTTAATAGATGGCTTCAGCAATTTTGGGCGGGTGATTGGTCACTGAATGATCAGCAGAGGACAAGAAGATTCAAGACCAAAAGATAGGAGGTCGGACGGAAACGTTCATTGGTGTTTGACGTTATCAAAGAGACAGTCGTATAGAATGACGTGAATTTTTAAGTTTGTCTTACGCTACTGTTCAAAAAATTTTGACAGTGGGCTTAATTATGAAAAGAGTGAGTGTATGATGGTACCGAGATTTCTTAAAGTGAAATTGGTGAAAGTGTTTGCGAATCAATTTATATTTTTTAATGAAACGAAAGTTAACGCTTTTAAAAGTATGACGGTGCGCATCCGTCATATGACGTTATATTTAGGTGCGGCGACTACCATAAACGCACATTGTTTAAAATCAGATATTTTGGAAAGAATACATCATATTCCTTTAAAATTTTCAGGTCTGATTTGAAATAAATATAGTTTCCATCATGCTTAATTTTGTTGCTTTACGTCGGTTTATAGAAATTTTATCAAAGTTGTGACATTACTTTTGGATCAACCCTCGTATTACGTCCAACACACGTTAATGCTTTTTGTATTAGGTGATACTGTTAATTTAGTAATAATATACCGCTCTAATTTGACTCTCTTTCGCTGAAAATATTTAGGCAAACCATTATTCCCTAGTTTTTACTCGTACCTTCGCCTGTCCCCACACAACTCGTCAGCCAGAAAAAATTAATAAATTTAATTTAAAAAAAACTACTCAACCAAAAAAAAGAAAAGGTGTGTCGAAACTTGAATCCAACTTCGCCATTGGGGAGGAGGGGGGGGGGGAGAGTAGGTTCAGTCTTCTTTCAGTATCAAATTGTCTTAATCAAACATTATACACTGTCTTATTCTTTTGGCCTATAGTGCACGAATTTGACCATGCTGCAACAAAGTTTGTATGTGTGTGTGGAGGTTGGGGGGGGCGGACTTTCATTGTAACCCCCGACCCCATCCCCGTTGCTACTTGCGTGCGACTGTAATGGTCAATGTTTTCTTTAAAAGAAGAAAAATTTGTGTTTGTTTATTACTAGTAATTACTTTCCGTAGAGTCATGATAGGATTGTGATATAAAGTCTTATCTCGATTTCAACGGAACTTGAAGAAATTAATGTCGATATATGCGGGGTATTTTGATACATGTATCAGAGTTGAAGATTTCAACGTAAAATGTGACTTATTTCATATCATGAATTCAATAGTCAGTGATATATATTTCACGCTCATTAAAGTTTTAAAGATTTTAAACATTTTCATAACTTTTGGGAAACATCCATAACCATTTGTCACATACTTTTTGCTCTTTCAGTGATATATTCTCAAGAGATGTAGCCATATATCTGATATTACACAGAAATTCGTACGTCTTTTTGCTTAATCTATATATTTTTTTTCCTTTTGGTTTATAAATATCTTCATTCATAATATCACTGTCGATGTAATATTGTTAATGTCTTAAACAAATGATGTAATGCTTTTGGGGAAAACTCTACAATATCTGTATTTAATTTCTTAACATATTGCAAAATAGGTTCCAGTGGGCTTTCATTCATTCATTTTATCGGAACAATTTCAGAAATTTGAAACAGTAGTAGTTTCTACCATACAATTCCTTTGAATGTATTTATTTGATCATTTTAAATTAGTTTTTGAAACAAAATTTATTTTAGCAAAATTTTCGTGACATCCCCATCATTCGTATTTTTTTTTCTTAGCATATTCTATTACTGTTATTTTAGTAAAAATATTCATCCAAGATTCTCAGAGATTTTTAGTGTGAAAAATTTTAAGTATCTGTATTAGGCTAGCAATCCGTATTTCCTCTATCGCTCTAATTTTTGTAATGCTTCAATTTGGGCGTTTGATAAGCCTGCTGAATTTGATATTTTGCTTGTACTAAATTGATGAAGCAAGATGAGGTTATTTCACTATTTCTTTCTGTACATTTTCCCTTTCATTGTAGCCTTGGACGTTACAGCTTCATAGGTCTGAAAAGCAACAAAACAAATCTATTATGATAATCGCTATTCTTGTTTTTGTTGAATTTTTTTTTTTAAATAATGCACATTTGCACGAGTATATAATAAATATTGTACATACAACGAATCTATTAGGAGTAACATTTGTTTAAAAAAAATTAAAATAGTTAAAGTGGGAAGCAAAACGCTGAAGACCCTGCGCTTTAAATTGATGCTGACAAATCTTTCCCTAGACACACAATAGCTATTAAGGATGACGTTTACTCAGGTTTCAGAAAAGAGACATGAAAATTTCTAAAGTATAGTATGTTCAATCAAAATTTGTTCTAAACTTAAAATAACCAAGTTTTAACTCAATATCAATTTAAAAATTTCATATTTCATTATTTGAAGTATATGTACAGGAACAAAAATCAATGTAATCAAAAAACAAGAGGCCCATGGGCCACATCGCTCACCTGAGAAACTTTGGCCAGACTCTTCTTTAACAGACACCCCCCCCCCCCATTTGTAATACAAATTGTGACCACGCCCTACCCCAGGGATCATGAATTGGACAGTTTAGAATCTACACTACCCTAAAGTTTCAGCTTTTCTGGCCCAATGGATCTTGAGAAGAAGATTTTCAAAGATTTTTCCATAAATATTTCAATGTAAAACTTGGATTCCCTATTTTGGCCCCGCCCTACCCCAGGGGGTCATGATTTGAACAATTCAGAATCTACACTACCCAAGGATCTTTTCACATAAGTTTCAGCTTTTCTGGCCCAGTGGTTCTTGAGAAGCCGATTTTTAAAGTTTTTCCTATATATTTCTATATAAAACTTGGATTCCTTATTGTAGCCCCGCCCTACCTCCGGGGGTCATGATTTGAACAATTTAAAAAATACACTACCCCAGGATGCTTCCACATAAGTTTCAGCTTTTCTGGCCCAGTGGTTCTCGAGTAGAAGATTTTAAAAGTTTTTTCCCTATATATTTCTATGCAAAACTTGGATTCCCTATTGTGGCCCCGCCCTACCCCCAGGGGTCATGATTTGAACAATTTAGAATCTACAATACCCCAGGATGCTTCCACATTAGTTTCAGCTTTTCTGGCCCAGTGGTTCTTGAGAAGAAGACTTTTAAAGATTTTTTCTATATATTTCTATGTAAAACTTGGATTCCCTATTGTGGCCCCGCCCTACCCCCGGGGGTCATGATTTGAACAATTTAGAATCTACAATACCCCAGGATGCTTCCACATTAGTTTCAGATTTTCTGGCCCAGTGGTTCTTGAAAAGAAGATTTTTTAATGATCACACCCTATTTTTGTAAATTATTCATTATCTCCCCTTGGAAGGGAACTTGGCCCTTGATTTCAAAAATTAAAATTCCTCTTCATCCAAGAATGCTTTGTACCAAGTTTGGTCAAAATTGGCCCAGTGGTTATTGAGAAGAAGTTGAAAATGTGAAAAGTTTACAGACGGACGGACGGACGGACGGACGGACGGACAGACAGACAGACAGACGGACGGACGGACGGACGACAGACAACGGGTGATCAGAAAAGCTCACTTGAGCTTTCAGCTCAGGTGAGCTAACAATATAGAGGAAATTCGAACTAAATTTTCAATTTTTCATTTTTGTCAAAATTTTGTATCATTTGCAATATTAATCACAATTTAAAGACTAAATGTAATTTAAGACATCATTTTGCAAATATTATATGTGTTAGAGTTCTTAAATTATTTCAAATAATTAAATGCCATGAAATAAAGAAATTCAAAAATATGAACAAAAACCATTCCAGACAACAAATCTAAATAATTTGATCATTGACCCATTATAATATTATTACCATGAAAATAAGGGCAACAGGAGTAACCTAAGGTTATAAATAGATTTGAGTTTTTATCAGTCAGATTTTTGTAATATTCAATTAAAAATGGGGGGAAAAACTAAATATGACAGAGGAAATTCGGACTATAATAATTATCAAGCTTTATATGGCCCAAACTCTAATCGTTTCTTTATATGAAGTGCAACGCTTTCCATTACTTTAATATTTCATTATTAAAAGAGTTCTCTTGCTTATAATATTTTGTGAGTGGAGAAAAAATTGGACATAGTGTAAAAAAAATTGAGGTATTTCCCGAGAAATACTCAGGGGCCACTAGCATGAAAAGTAGGTCATTGACCTAGTTATTTGAAATTGAAATTTAACACTAGAATCATAAGTGTACAATTTACAATAGGTGGTTTTTCGTTCTTATCAGTGGAATTTTTTAGTCTTCTGAGTAAAGGTATACCTTAAGCTCGAACATTATTCCCATGACAAATATTCTCTTTATACATGCATGGGAATATACACTTGATAGGTGAAGCCAGTAAAACATAATCAAACAATGACTTTTCTGACTACATATAATTATAACTACAACCGATCCTAACCCATGGTCAACTTCCATTCCCTGAAAAGGAAAATGGATAGACCCCTTTATAAAAACTTAAGATCACAAACACTTACAACATCCATAACGTCTCCATTGACTTTTCTGGTGATGATGAATTCCCGGTTTTTCCCATCTACGTTATTTGTGACCTCGTGTTCCTTTGTTTCACAGTCGCTAACCACAGTTAGGGTTATCTAAATTAATGGGATGTAAATGTCATGTCATGTTTGAACCAATGAATTCTAATTCTGCATTTGATAGAACTTTTATTTTAACTTCCTTTTGCCTATCTAGTTTTGATTTATTGCATTTAATATTCAATTTTCTATTTTTTTCAATTTCTAGTAAATTCGTATAATTTTGTTTCATATAGCCTTTTAGTCTTTGTTTAAGCAGAAAAAAAATGAATACCTTTAGATCGTAACCACCGGGGCCTTTTCCGTCGAATTCTTTTCCGACCTGGATGTCGTAGTTCATGGGATCGTCTGGGTACAGGGAGGTGGTCCACCTTATCTTCCAGTTATCGCCGTTTACATCATAGGTGGCCGTCGATCTTGCCCCCATGTACTTATCCTTGTATTCTCCTAGTCCTAAATTGAAAAAAAAATCTTAAAGGTTTAAGCATTCAAGGGAAGTGATTCTTTTTTATCTTATCAAGGATCCAAAGAAATTGTCAAATAAAAATTTGAAAAGGCGTCTCATTCGTATGTTTTCTTGTTTGTATTTAAACTTGATAGTGTTTCACACATTTTTTGCAAAGCCAAGGGATACCACTCGATTAAGGTTAATCCTATAGAATTAGTGTCAGCCCATATGAAAAAATACTATTAGAATTTAATCGGAGTATTCAGTTGACTACTAGTTGACGGTCAACTGACCGTCAATTGACGATTAGTTGAATTTTTGCCATGCAAATGAGGGAGCATTCAACTCATTTGCATAGAGTTGCCCATACGAAAATGTGTAGTTGACCGTCAACTAGTCGTCAACTGATAATGCGAAAACAGTTGACCACTAGGAGTTGACTTCTTTTCTGAAAAGCGTTCAACTGATTTGCATAAAACGGCCAGTTGACCATTAGTTGAATGCTAATACTTTGAAATTTCAAGCAAAACAAGAGTTGACCACTAGTTGAACACTCCGACTTGTTAGAAAATTTCTCCCACGCTACATTTATGTTGGGTTGAAAATTACATTATCATACATCGGGTTTGTTATACCATAATTACAACAACCAAGATTTGAATCAGTACATGTGTGTTTTCTGTAGAAGGTGGATATTTCAATTTGAAACATTATTGTCTTCGTGATGATTCAGCGTGTGAAATATCTTATGAAGTAATATTGTAAGTATAAAATTTAAAGATTTGTTTTACTAAATAACTTGTTATTTTTAAACAGGTATTAGGAATACAAAAAAATGTAGCCAGTATAAGTCCCTATTTTTGTATACTTTTTTAAATATTGAAAGAATTCTGAAAACTTGTCATGCATCAAGTGTTTTGTCGTGTTTCTTGTTGTGTTGGTAAAAATATACCATTGCTTTAGACTAATTCTATATATAACCTTTTTCTGCACAGAAAATGAAGAAGGCATGTAACAACTTATGAGAGTGTGCCAGCTCAATTCATTTACAATGCATTTAGATTTACATGTACATTTATGTCAATTTAGAAACTCCATTGTTTTGACGTTTCATATTTTCAAGAACACTGCTTGTCTTAGATTTCAAATCTCCCTCCATTTTTTTCAAATAATGCATGCAACCTACGTGCACTGACTGATGGAGTATTCAACTAGCGGTCAACTGCAAAGAAAATAGTGGAGTATTCAACTAGCGGTCAACTGCAAAGGAGATAGAGGAGTAATCAACTAGCGGTCAACTGTAAAGGAAATAGAGGAGTATTCAACTAGCGGTCAACTGCAAAAGAAATAGTGGAGTATTCAACTAGCGGTCAACTGCAAAAGAAATAGTGGAGTATTCAACTAGCGGTCAACTGCAAAGGAAATAGTGGAGTAATCAACTAGCGGTCAACTGTAAAGGAAATAGAGGAGTATTCAACTAGCGGTCAACTGCAAAGGAAATAGAGGAGTAATCAGCTAGCGGTCAACTGTAAAGGAAATAGAGGAGCATTCAACAGTGGTCCAGTCTATGCAAATGAGTTGATCGCTCCCTCATTTGCATGGCAAAAATTCAACTAATGGTCAATTGACGGTCAGTTGACCGTCAACTAGTAGTCAACTGAATACTCCGATTGAATTTTAATAGTATTTTTTCATATGGGTGACCACTGTTGAATGCTCCTATATATTCTTTGCAGTTGACCGCTAGTTTAATACTCCTCTTTTTCTTTTGCAGTTGACCGCTAGTTGAATACTCTTCTATTTTCTTAGCAGCTAGGTTATGGTTTGCAAGGAAAGGTTTCCAAATAAACTAAATGTTAGGACTTTTTTCTAAATGCAGAGAAAATCATCTTGCATTTTATAAATAAACCTATTCATGAATTATAATTATGTTACCATGTATCTATAAACATTTGTATAAAATGCCTTCATTATATAGAAATTGATCATATGTATATTCTTAATTTCTATCAGACAAAGACCAATTTCAAAGATAATGATAAAAATTAAAACAGATATTTGAACTCATATAACAATTAGGGCGTCATTACAATGTTTACTTACCTATTGCATCCATAAATGGTCCCATACTTGGGTCCGTTTCTCTTTCTTCCCATGTTCCACTGAATTGCGACATTTTGCAGGTATTTTGAAAAGGTGAACAACCGGTTGGTTTCACTGTCATTTAAAGCATCGGGAGGATTTTATTTTCATTGGTCGTCAGCGTTTGTTTGTTGATCGGAAGCTAAACGGAGGGTCGCTATTGGTCTCCAGATAACTCTGAATTCTAGTCTTTATCGATGCTAGAAATTTTAATAAAGAACTACTGTCTATCAATTGTAGTATATTTACATCCGCTGAATATTTTCTCCTTTATTTCTTAAGAAATCCCATTGCGTTAATCACTGCATGAACTATACATCAACAGTCGGCATGTCGTCTGATCTGATTTCTTGATCAGTGGCTGTTCCATCAATGTAACGTATAAAGACGTTCGCATCATTAATACAATAATTAATCTTTTTAATCCTGCTTTAAATGATTATTTAAACAGATATAAATATGAACAATAAAATGTCTTTCTTTGTTTGTTATTACTGGAATTAACGGTCGCAGCTATTGCAGAAAAAATTACATAACCCTTTTACGCGGGTTATGTATTTTTTCTGCAACAGCTGCTTCCGTTAGTTCCAGTAATAACAAACAAAGAAAGCATTTTATTGTTTAAATGAACATTCATTGGATATATATTATTTTATAGAGATCAAGATCTCAAAATGAGGTAAATTTGTCAATTGTGTCCCACCGCATTTGTGAAAATTGGATAGCAGATTTTCATTTGTCTCCGCTGGATTCACTGTGGAAATACGATATGCTATTTTGAGGTTGCACCACGTTGTCTTTCCATTGCTTACGAAAATATTGACGATTCAAAGTGTACAAACTCTGCTGTATACCTTCAGTTTTTATTTATTGCTAGTCCACGAACTTCTCTATAACCCAATATATAAATATTGGAGAAAATTTAGAGACCCCTCCTCCTCCTCAATAAATTTGTAATTAACAATATCCAATTATAATTGTTATTTAAACAGCATCATATGACCCGTTAAGCTCTTGAAATTATACATTGTTCATTAACTTAAACGTTATGTTTCTACGGTGTATAATTTTTTGTCCAAAATGATTGATTGCTTAATTTAATAGTGGTGCAGTTGTAATAAATGTTACCGATAAAAAAAAGCTTGAAAAAGTGTCAAGTGGAGATTTTCCTTGAAAAATAATCAGTCTTAAGAATTAAAATGAATTTTAACAATTGAAAAACATGTACAAGAAAGTAAAACTCATTTTATTAATTCAATGGTAAGGTTTAAAAAAATATTCTGATGACTAATCTATCCTATTCTCGCATCATTTCTCCAGAACATCTTCTGAGGAAATTATATTTTATAAATTTTCTGAGAGTTCCCGTCTGTGTTCATGTTCTAATCTGTCAGTCAAGATCAATGTTCCTGAGTAACATTATTATATCATGCATATTATTTCGCGTTATGTCGCGAAAGTAACGCGTTAATTCGCGAAAGTTTCGCATTTATTCGCGAAAGTTTCGCGTTATAATGCAAAGGTTTCGCGTTATAACGCGAAAGTTACGCGTATATTCGCGAAAGTTTCGCGTTATAACGCGAAAAATTTATTTTTTTTTACCTACGAAAATGAGCTCATTGGGCTTTCGTAGATTGATAAGACTTACAATGATAAAAAAGTAAAAAAGAGTCATGTTTATAGATTTTAGGTTTTAGGGAGTGTGATAGGTCATTGAATTATTATCAGAAGACAGGAAAGCTGAAAGAAGAGAGGTCGGAAGGAAACGTTTATCACGGTATCTGATGTTGTCAAAAAACAACGTGTATCTGTTATGTAAATGTATTTGGACACTGTCTTATTATATTGTTCAAGGAATTTTGACAAAGAACTTTGTTATGAAAAAAGTGAATGCACAATGGCTACCAAGAATTCAGTAAAGAACAGAAATTTGTGAACATATTCCGAGAATCTCACATAATTTTATTGGGAAGAGTTTTTAAGTATGACGGCGAGTATCCCTAGCAATACGTTATTTAGATGCGGCGAATACCAAATTCGCATATTGTATATAATTCTATATTTTTAAAAGTATTATTAACCTTGATTCAAAATTTTCAGGTCTGATTTGAAATAAATATAGCTTCCATCATATATAATTATGTTGTTGTACGTCAACTTGTAGCAATTTTATTCAATTTTATTAAAGTTGTGACATTACTTTTGGATCAACCCTCGTATTTCACGCTCATTCAAGTTTTTAAAGATTTTATACAGTTTTATAACTTTTTCAAATTACACCCATAACCACTTGTCACATACTTTTTGCTCTATCAGTGATGTATTCTCAAAAGATGCTGCCATATCGGACATCAGCCAGAAATTCGTACGTATTTTTGCTTAATCTATTGTATTTTTTTCTTCTGGTTTATAAATATCCTCATTCATAATATCATTGTCGATGTAATATTGTTAATTTCTTCAACATTGGGTATAATGCTTTTGGGAAAAGTCTATAATAGCTATATTTAATTTCTAAACATATTGCAATACAGGTTTGAGTGGGATTTCATTCATTTATTTCATCGGAACAATTTAAGAAAATTGAAACATAGTAATAAAATTTTTACCACATAATTCTCTTGAATGTATTTATTAAATTTTGATCATTTGTAAATTAGTTTTTGAAACAAATTTATTTTTAGCAATATTTTCGTGGCATCCCCATCCTCCGCATCCCCCTTATTTCCTTAGCATATTATTTTACTGTTAATTTAGTATAGAATTATTTAATTGATGTAGAAGGGTTGGGTCTCCCATGTTACCAGAATCTATATCCAATCAAAGTAATGTTATGTTCTTTTAGCTTGAACTTTAACCGGTTGTCTTTTTATTCGGAGATTTTTTTTGCTTGTCTCCTTAACCCCCCTTTTTTCACACACATTTTAAAATTGATAGTTCACTGTAGACTGGCTTTCGGTGTACATCAGTATGATTAACTATGGATTAAAATTAAAATGGCTAAATGCATTTTAAATTATGGTATATGTTTTTCAGTAAAAAAGTAGCGCTAATGTAATAAGAACGGTAATACTATGAGTGTATTCGATTAAGACAACCCGTGTCGCACTAGTTCAAGCTAAAAAAAAAACATGACATTTCTTTGATTGGATATAGATTCTGGTAACATGGGAGACCCAACTAATTAAATTAAATCTTCGCTAAAAATTCTGCTTATACAGTATGTTCATGTTTAACAACACCTGCATGTGAAGATTTCCAACAAATTGGCACTTTGAAAACCAAATTAGCATATTTAAATTTTTATTTCAGGATGTTTTACTTTTGGCACATAGAACTTTGTTGTATATTTCTATCTAATCCGTACAATGATTCTCACCACAGGTAAGATGGCCTCAAACCAGAAAACACAGAACAGGACCATGAGGACGGAGATACGTCTGCACTCTTCAGTGTTGGATCAATTTAAGGAACAACCTAAAAATAGGTGACCTGTAATCATGTAGACCAACCCCGAACCTGATGTAAATAAACATGTTTATAATATACTACAACTTTATTCCGTACAAGTATAGACAACATTTGCGAGACATTATGTAGACAAGTTCAAAATTTCCATTGAGTGAACAAAGATTATCGGCAATTGTCTCTAAACACATTATTCTTGCACACACAAGAATTCAAGAATTTAAATTCTGTTAAATATCAGTTTTCAGATTTTTGTTTTAGTTCAATTTCACCAAAACCCCCATCTATATCATCATTAGACAGTGAACCTGTTTTGAATATGTATTCATTCATGTCTGGAATCACTCCAGACAGATTTTGCAAATCTGAAATCTTGGAACTAAACTGAATGAGTCCACTGGGATTTTGACCATCCAGCAACTTGTCACAGTAGTCCACACTCTCTCTGGTTTTGGTAATTTGTTGATCGATTTTGTCCTTTTCAGCTTGTAACTGATTTTGATCCATTGTTTTTAGCTCCTTGATTTTCTGCCTTTGTTTTGTGACTGCTTTTTTCAGAGCTGCCATCATATCCTTTTCTCTGCTACTAACCTGGGACTCAAGAGTCTTGTAGATCCTCTCTCTGTCTTTGGATTTTGTATCAAGTTTTGTATTGAATTCTTTAAACTTTTGAATGATACTATTCATCTCATCCCTTTCCCTTCCAATGCATGCTTTCTGGGCATCAAAAACATCTGATATGTGTTCATAATCATGACCTTTGTGAAGGTTACTGGACAGGCACTTTGAACATAGTGGGACTTTACACTGCTTGCAGCACAACTCACACATGGTGTGTTCATGGCTTTGACAATACAACAATGGTCCCCGCAATTTTCTATTTTTATACTCCACCACATCATGCCCATATTTGGATTTTTTCAGAAGGTGTAGACCTGCACAGTTTGCACAAAGATTTTCTGAGCAAATATTACAGAATAATTGGGATGGTTTTTCACAAGCATTCTGATCACATGTAACTAACTCTTGTGCCTGTACTTCTATGCTGGCGATGTCTGTTTTACTAAAATTATAGAAATTTGTGCATATAATAATTTTTAAAAAAATTTAAAACTCTGGGTGAAGGTTCCCTATTGTTGCATAAAAAGATTGATCTGAAAGTGGCACAATTTGTACCTGACTTGGTTTTTCCTTTCCTTTTCTTCATTAATTCTTTGTCTCCTTTGTGCAGTTACCTTAAATCTGCAGAGTAAATTTACAGACATGAATATAACTTAACTTCTGTATTCACAGAAGAATGTTGTACTGAATTTAAAATTTAAACAAGAGGCCCATGGGCCACATCGTTCACCTGAGCACTGTGGCTAGGGAAAAAAGTAGAAATCAGTTTATTATTGAAAAGTTTAAACCCAAAAGTGGTCCCAACCAATCCTGAACGGGGAGAGGGTATGATATGAATAAACTTGATTATACACTAACTAGAAATGCTCGAATATTTCTTTGACTGCCACATGTGGCTTCATTGCCCTTTGCATTGGAACTTACATTGTGCCCCCCCCCCAACACACACACATCTCTGTCCAACTAAAATATGACCAATCATAGCTTTGCTGTCCTTGAAATGTTTTTCCTATATTATTCCTATGTAAAACCTTGAAGGGACATCGTGGTCTGCCCTATCCCCAGGGGTCATGGCTTGAACAAAACTTGAATCTACACTGCCTGAGAATGCTTCTTATAAATATGACTAATCATGGCCTTGCTACTCTTGAAAGGGAGATTTTTAAAGAATTTTTCTATATATTTCTTTGTAAAACTTTGAATGGCCACTGTGGCACTGCCCTACCCCCAGGGGTCATGATTTGAACAAATTTGAATCTATGTTACCCAAGGATGTTTCCAATAAGTTTCATCTTTCTGGCACAGTGGTTCTTGAGAAGATTTTAAAAACATGCCACCAAATTTTCATTATTTCTGAATTATCTCCCCTTGAATAAGGGTGTGGCCCTTCATTTGAACAAACCTAAATTCCATTACATGTACCCAAGGTTTTGTGGCAAGTTTGGTTGAAATTGGACCAGTGGTATGTTCTAGAGAAGAGGTCGAAAATGTGAAAAGTTTACAGATAATGAGACAGATGAACAGCTAGACAGACAGACAGATGGACTCTGGACAAAATATGATCAGAAAAGCTCACTTAAGCTTTCAGTTCAGGTGAGCTAAAAATTGAAAAACATGATTATACCCCTCTTCAGATCCACCTCTTGGCCAGGAACCATTTTTGTTTCTGGTTTCTATGACAATGACTTGTCCAGCATACAGTCCTGCTTCCTGTAGAGTCTGTTCAGGTTTACTGAGATGTTCATAAGTGTTACTCATATATTTGTTCCATATACGAACTTCTTCATCATCAGATAATCCAAATTCCTCTCTCATTGCTAGTTCAAGTGACTCTGGAAAACCCCCAGCTAAAAATTATGTTTAACACAGACAAGGACTGCAACAGTAATTAGAAATAAAATGTTAATGATTTGAAAAAATGAATAATTGTAATTTCAAATTAATGATATAATGTCACAATTCCCTAAGAAGATGCATCATACCAACCTACTGTGTCGACTCTGCTAAACTCTTTATTAATGCATTCTTGCTGATCAGTAGCTTTTTTTAAGTAGAGGTGCAATCTGTAAACTTCCACTTTACAATGCTTTTTAAACATCCCCTGCTCAATCACTTCTCTTTGAAGTATAAACTGTAAAAAGACATTTTTGATGGATGGGAAGTTTTCTTTATGCCCATCATCTGAACTTCCATTATAACAACAGGTCAATGGGCCACATTGCTCACCTGAGTAACTACCCAGATAGCAGACTGTTATTGGACCTTTGTTGGGCCAACAATGCTCCTTATGTTGGGCCACCGTTTGTATTCAACATTGGGCCATCGGTAATTTGCTCATCGGCCCTTAATCAAACCAACGTGTTGGCTTATTGTTGGGCCAATGTAACAGTTAATATTGGGCCACTGTTGGGCCAATGTATTATTTCAATATTGGGCAAACGTCATTTTTGTACAGTTGGGCCATTGTAAGCAGTTAATGTTGGGCCAACGGTAATTTGCTCATCGGCCCTTAATCAAACCAACTTGTTGGCTTATTGTTGGGCCAGTGTAACAGTTAATATTGGGCCACTGTCGGGCCAATGTATTTTTTCAATGTTGGGCAAACGTCATTTTTGTACATTTGGGCCACCGTTTGTATTCAACATTGGGCCATCGGTAATTTGCTCATCGGCCCTTAATCAGACCAACTTGTTGGCTTATTGCTGGACCAACGAACGGATATTATTGAGCCATTGTTGGGCCAACGTTGGTTTGTATCTTATTGGCTCTCCATCATGACAACTCATTTGCTCTTCACTGGTTGGCCATTTGTCCTCAAAATTGACAAACAAATACATATATTAAGGTTATACTAGTTTTGTAGTACAGTTTAATGGTAAAAGCCCTTTAATACTTTCTATATATGCTAGATTAATAGTTTAATACATATTCTCAATATATATCTAATAGCATTGATTAAAAAACTGAGGAAAAAGAAATCAAAATATAAAATTAAATTATAACATACTAGTATTTTATTGCTCAGTGCATGAAGAAAACATTAATAAAGAAATAAAAGTTGATGCTCACTTCGAGTGATACATGTAGGGTTACATGACTTTATACTCCCTCTCTGATGTAAATTTATGCACAAGTTCAGTAAATTGCAGGTATCAATAAGCAGGTCCAACGAATAAACAAAGCCCCCTGTTCTTAAAATAATACTAAAATGAATCCCGTCATTTTGTTTACTTACACAAAAAAATGTTTCTGGCATCTGCATCGTGTTTGTAACCGACAAACAGACACAGAAAAGGGTAGAACTACAGGTTTGTCACAGTATATAACAGAAAAAAGCTAGGCACTGCCACTTTCCATCTGATCCCTCTCTTAAGTCTTCTCTTCTCTCTCCCGAGTCTCCTCCTCCCCCTTCTTTTCTTCTCTGTCCGTTTCTTCCTCCCCCATCCCTGTCCTTGGCATACCTTAGCTATTCTTTGATTGTGTTCTGAATGTCTTTTTAGAATCTCCAGTAGCACTAAAATTGTAGTATTTGGTACTTAATACATTTGTTACTTTTCTCAGTAAAGAGTAAACATACGATTAAATTTACAAGTATATCACTATATGTTTAAGGTGTCAATTAAGGAATAACAGTCTTTTTTTGTTTTATGGTGTGATTAAGTGGTTAGCTTGCATGATGAAGGCATTTATGCATAACATTTCTACGCTTGATCATCATCATCATCACAACGATTTTGATTCAATGTTGCCCCATATAAAATACATGTATAGAAAAGTCGTTACACTGAACAAATTTTAATTGAAAGAACCCAATTTATGTTTAGTACTGAATAAATTTAGTTTTAACTTCAACAAGTTCAACATTTTCAAAATGTTTGATCATGTGCTCGACGTTAAGTGTATATAAGTAAATTAAGTGGTAGACTTCGGAAATGTATTTTACTAGTTACACATTTCAATCTAAATAAGGGGCAAATTATTTATTGTTTTAACTGTATTAAAACACATTTGTTATTTTATACTTTAATTTATTTTTCTTGTATAAAAACAAAACATTTAATCACTGATAATTTATTTTGTTTTGATAAATTATAAGAATTTTAACAAGCCTTGTAAATTCATTTTAGCTAGCTTGTACTTTCAAGTAGGATTGGTTGTAGATTTATTTTTGATTGTAGAGACGATCAGATTTGTTAATATACAGATTTGTAACAATTGAATGTTTATACACATTGGCCCAATGTTGGTCCAAAATATCGGGCCAACATTGGGCCAAGGAGCAAAATGACACTGGACCAACGTCATTTGCCAACATCGGCCCAATGTTCCAATTGACGTTTGTCAAACAATGTCGCATTCATTGGGCCAATGTTGGCGCAACGTTGGGCCAATATCTGTAGAAATAACACTCTACACTGGGCCAACGTTGGCCCAAAATATCGGGCCAACATTGGGCCGATGAGCAAACTTAAATTGGGTCAATGTCATTTGCCAACATTGGCCCGATGTAACTGATTACATTGGCCCAACGTTGGCCCAATGTTAGCATGCCATCTGGGGTACAGTGTTGACCCAACAGCACCTGGCCTCTGCACTTCCCCGTGTCTGCTTTACGCAGATTTGTACATGATATCGTTTAAAAACTAAACGTTAATTCAGCTGTGCCGAGGCAAACATATTATAAATACTTACAAAGTGGATGCAGATATGCAAGGTATCAGTCTCATTACGCTCGCTCGTGTCAGATTAAAAATGGCGCGGATATTACAAGTAGCCCGGTTGTTGTCTACCCCTGATGCTCAGTCAGATTCATGGTATATTGGGCCAACGTTGGGCCGATGCCAATCCCCAAACAAATATTTTCTCTCATGGTAATAATTTTATGATATAATGCAAACAGTTAGCCCAACATTAGCGCACCATTATACATAACCTGCTATCGATATTCCATGTTGGGCCATTGTTGGCCCAATAAAGGTAACCCAACATAGATAATACAACCATAATGTAAGATTGGGCTAACGATGTTCTGCTATCTGGTTTATTACAAATAAAAATAATCATAAACATAATTCAAAAAATAGAATAAAACACTCTTTGGTGCTGTGATCACTTACGTGCAAAGTTAAAATGTTGAAAATATCATATCTAAACAAGAGCAGTCATCCAATGATAAGCATGGACATAGAAAGTCCTCTTAATTATTTCAGAATGTGCCAACGTTGTCCCAACGTAAAGCTCAGCAGCTTCTTATAAAATTGACACCATCAATTAATTGGCAGTATAATAATTGGGCCTACGTTAGCCCTATATAAATATCCCATCTTTTAAACACCTAAACAAAATAACACTTGTGTGTATTACAAACATTGTGCCAATGTTGAGCCAACATACTACTACCAACTTGATAGGACACGTTCTTTAAGGGTGTATTAGAAACAATGAGCCAACGTTAGACCAACATAATACCATCAACTTGATAAGACATTTTCTTTAAGGGTGTATTAGAAACATTGGGCCAACGTTGGGCCAACAAACTACTTGAACTTGATAAGGCACTTTCTTAAAGGGTGTATTACAAACAATGGGCCAACGTTGGGCCAACATAATACTACCAACTTGATCAGACATTTTCTTTAAGGGTGTATTACTAACAATGGGCCAACGTTGGGCCAACATATTACTACCAACTTGATAAGACACATTCTTTAAGAGTGTATTACAAACATCGGGCCAACGTTGGGCCAACATACTACTACCAACTTGTAAATACACTTTTCTTTAAGGGTGTATTATAAACATTGGTCCAACGTTGGACCAACACCAGGATCCTTCCTTCCTTGGGAACTAAAGTGAATGGAAGTTGCTTACGTTGGACCAACGTTGGGCCAACATAGGAATTCTGTCATGGTCAAGAAGGTTGACTTGGTAACATTGGTCCAACGTTGGCCCAACGTTATTTCCCCAACGCCAACCATACAACCCTTTACAAATGTTGGCCCAACATAGTCATGCTATCTGGGTAATAGCCATTTTAGATTTTCTACATGTTCTTTCATTCCTGTGTAACAATTTGATTGCTCATTGTAATAATTTTAAACTGTAATGCAATATAAACTAATTCCATGTTTTTTGTCCTTATTGTTTTCCAAATACAGTGAATTTACACTTACCTACCCTTAATTGAACATTATATATGCATGAAACCATTGAAAAGTGTAGCTAACAGTTTTAGAATGGGTCTAAAATAAGACTAGATGATTAACAATATCATGTATTTAACAAGTATATACTGACAAAACGTCAGATATACTCAAGCTGTAGAAAGTCAATTAAGAAGTATCATTATATCCTAAAATGGTTTTAAGATGAGGGCTATATATTGAGTTCAATACTCTGTTGAATAAACTACATGACTGTATACATGAAACAACATTCATATATTGAATTTTATCAGAAAAAAACATTATTAATCGTACTTAATTACTTTTTAAGATGAATTTACGTGACACACTTCCAGGAATATTTTATAGAGCATAGTAACGTTTCCGTTTCTTAATGAAATATTTTTTATGTAGACATTTAGTATACATGTACTTCAAACTATATACGTTTTTGTATTTTTTGCTTAATGACGTACATCTCATTCAATACATACATCAATTAAGATAGCTTGCTAAAAGCCTGTAGAAAAGTTTTTCAAAGTGAAAAGGGGGGGATGGGGCTACAGGCTACAAAAAATCCACGTGACTACGGGTTCATCCATCGTTGCAAACCACGGACAAAATGTACGATCCTCTCCTACTGCGGACCGTGGCTTGAGACGATGGGGTTCATCTATCTGAGCGGCATGTCCAATGCATATTCGGTACGAACCAAAAGAAGTATATAATTTCCGGTAACAAAGCTTAATACGAGAATTTAACATTGATTTTGTGCTTTTATTTTACTGTCTCTCAAATTACACATCATTTGCAGGCCCGTGAAAAGCAATTTCAGTTGGGGGGGGGGGGGTACAGCCATACATTTTCTGGCCATACATTGTAGAATTTGTTAACGATGGGGTAACCTGCGTCACCTTTCAGAGTCTGCAGTGGACTCGTCCAAGGATGCTTTGTCGGCGACTGTAAAAAGTTACCTGAGATTCATACGCAAAGGAAAACGTGAAATCTCTGTATAGAAACTGTTGCGGCTGCGACGCTTCCCTCATTGTTCATTCGCCATAGAAAATAATCCGCTATTTAACACTTAATATCTTTGAATATACAGACGTTTTCAAGATAAGCTTCATTTTTGTTTCTAGAAATATTTTTATATACAAAAATAATATATTTTTGTAATTTTAAACTGAGTAATTCGATGACCTAGCATCGTTTTAGATAACTCAAGCCCCTCTAGGGCTTGAGTAAAAAATATGAGATCATTATTTTCCATCTCCCTATTTATTTTGTATGGCACAAGTAATCGATAATTACTAACGGAAGTGTAAAATGTATTAACAATATGAGCCTGTCTTATTAACTTAATCCCCCCTCCAAAAAATATCAAAAATCAATTTCTAGGTGAGACCTTTCCCATTTGACAAAGCTAGATCATCAGCACACAAAGATGCAGCCATAATTTTAATAAATTTGTATTGCTTTACAATTACATGTAGGCATTGGATAATTTGTTGATCCTTTGTGTTTTGTGGAAGCATATATCAAGATGTATTATAGCTAGGGGACAAACTATGATCAGGAATGTCATCTTTAGAGCAAAAAATGGTGATTTAAAATTTCAGTTCAGCAATTTATTAGAAACCTGAGACCAACTCAACAGAACATCAGATTATGTGACCTATTAATACCTTGTCACTTTTAAGTACTCCATACTTCTGTTGCAGAAAATTCCAAGCATCCTTGGGCAGAAGAATATAATCCAATTCATCTATCAAATGGTCTTTCAGGACACTGTCATCTGGAAATTGAAAAGAGAAATGTATATTATACAATGTGTAATATCATATTTTACACAAATTTTTTTTCTCTTTAGAAATTATCAGAAAACTTAATAACTTTGGAATATATTTGTCAAACTTAAATGACTAAAAACAAGATTCCTTGATCTGCTCACATATGATCTTTTAATACAAATATACCTTTGTGTAGTGATCATACTACAGTCAAACTTTGTTATCTCGAACCTGATGGGACTGCAAGAGAAAAAACTTCGAAAATACATGTATCTGAGGATTTGAAATATCGAGGGTTAAATGTGATGACAATATAAGGTTGGGACTTCCAAATCACTATGACATAATTATTCCATCACATTCGAGATATCAGAGTTTGAGATACTGAAGTTTATAACTGTATATGCTGCCATCAAAGAATTCAATTTTATTAGAATAAATAAATACTCTATGTATTTGCATGTTTTTACCATACAGATAAAAATTTTGTATTATAAACTTATTATAGAATCAATTTATTCAATTTCCCCCCAAATTTCTTTCTTTTATACCTGTTATTAAAGGTGAATTGTCAATAGGGCCTGGATATTCATCAGAGTCCCCCTTGCTTGCTAGATCCCACTGGTCAAAGCCAACATATTTTTTCCACTTTTTAAACCAAGCTGCATCAACTAGATACCTATAATCATGATACTTTAATTGCAAGACATCTTAATCAAAATCAGTTCAATGCTGTGGGAACAAAAATGCAATATAATTACTAATTATTGTATGCAGACTGTCCTTAAAACTCACTGCATACAAATCAAAGACAAAAAAGACTGTAGTGTGATCATTTATGCAAAATCTTTGAAAAGTTAATTAATGCAATTAAGTAAACACTTCTGAAGTGAATGTGCTCATATCTGGTGCAGATGTGCATTCCATGTGACTAGTGACTATATATATAGCCCTTAATTTCTTTGAGTATCAACTTATTTGACCTCTTGCTCCTTCGGCCTATAAAAGTTATAATAACTTAATTGGTTCTCAGGCCTGCCTGCATTTTATTCAATGCATTAATTTCATTATCCATTTTTATCCTCAAATGAATAAAATAAAATTTTTCTCATCCAGCAAAAGACACAAAGACTCAATGAAATTGCTAGACAAACTGGCCTAGCTCAGAATAAATACATGTATCGAGGACACGTAAGTGATAAAGCTCAACTCCTGACAATTAATAGAGGCAGTTTAGATTGCTGGGCAAGACCAGGCCCCGAAACCATAAACTGAGAACAGACTTAAGTCAAAATTTCAAATCGATATAACTTTCGAAATAATTTTGATAGTAAAATAAAACTTTTAATTAACATTAAATGTTTGAATTGATGTATTTTACACAGTTGCAAACTTATAAGCTAATATATCAAATGGAACTGAAGATATTAAAAATTTAAATTTTGACTTAAGTCTATTCTCAGTTTATGGTTTTGGGGCCAGGAGGATGAAGAAACATTTACTTACCTTGGAGGTGTGATATTAACAACAAAGGAAGGAGCTGATGAAGACATTACCAACAGACTGAGAAAAGCTAAAGTCAGCTCTGCGCAATTTGGAAGGCCCAGAAAAATCTGGGGCTCATCAAAATTTTCAATCCAAATAAAAGGAAAGTAATTTAACAGCTTGGCCCTGTCAGTTCTAATGTATGGAAGTGAAACATGGAAAACAACAGAGGGAAACAAAAGGAAAATTGACACCTTCCAGAACAGATGCCTTAAGAAAGATCCTAGCTGTGAGTATAATTTAAGATTATGGCCTGAAAAAGTGTCAAATGAAGAACTCCATCAAGAACAAAAGTATAGCTAGAGCAAGTGAAATAATAACCTTCAGGAAGTGGAATTGGATTGACCACGTATTGAGGATGGATAACACCAGGATATGCATTAACATTGCATCCAAATGAAAAGAGATCAATATATCGATTGAAAAGTAGGCCAGCCAAAAACAACCTGGAGGAGGACCACAGAGCAAGAGAGGAAAAGCTGGACAGCAGCGAGGGCAACAGCTAAAGACAGAGGCAAGTGGAGGCAGTACGTGTATGTGCCTATGTGCCAGCAGGCATGAGGTGAGGTGAGGTCAATGCCCATATGTTGCCAAAAAAATTTTTGACCACATTTTGCCAAGATCAAGTTAATTAAGTTATAATGGCACTGATTTCAGTGAAGATTCATGCTTGAGGGAATTTTGAATATACTTCCATGGTACAAAGTTGGGGGTTCTGAAGGTTTAATTTCCATGCTAGCTAGAACTTGATCAATAACACTATCAATTTGACACAAATCCCTCAACCTCAGAACTCGGACGTCAGCATTAGGTTTGCAGATTTCATTTAAAGTGTCGGTAAACCACAGACTGATAAATTTGACAATTAATGTTTAATAAAATCCTAAATGCTATTTATAGTGCTGAAACACTTAGATTATAGTTGTTATGTATACAATTGACTAAGTGCTCGGTTCTGTAAGTTTATATAAATTAACACATCTCATTTTTAGGATACATCGTTTCACTGCACGAATCATTGGGATGGAGAAGTAATGCAAGTGAAAAGAGAAAGAAGCAGAAAATAAATTACCGGTATGTTGTTTTCTATGCTTGCACTTTTGATTAAAAATTAAGTTTTGAAATTATATCTTTAAAAAAAATCCTGCATCTGTTTTTAATTAATGAGAAAAAAAAGTCTCCCTCCCGCATTTATATTCTTGAGAAAACCGGCCTGAGAACCATGTTATTAAATTTTTTTGGCCATTATAACCCTTGAATTTGACCTACTTCTGCAAAAATTTAACAAACTTTATCCTTGCATATATAACTTTCAAACAGTTCAGGTGCTAGGACTTTCATACTTCACTTATGTATTTATTATAAAAAATTCAAAGAATTGTGGTCCCCCGCTTTCGGTGTTCTTGTGGGTGAGATGTCAAATATGAACGCCCTATCATATGTCATTTAGAAATTATCGACAAAGTTGAATTTTTTAAAGAATAAGGTCAATCGTAAAGGCCAAGGTCCATGAGTCAGAAATCACAGCATCCTCTGAAATATTTTGTCATTCGTGTAGGTAATTATGCATATGCCAAATATGAAAGCCTTATCTCTTCTCAATCAAAAGTTTAAAAACTGGGCCAAACTCCAAAGTCAAGGTCAGAGGGTCAACGTACTTGTTATCCAATGAAAGGATTTCTCACAAGGATTTAATACATATGTGATGAAGTATGAAAGCCATAGCCCTTGCCGTTTGAAAGTTATGGCCAAGGTTAAAGTTTTTTTCATAAGTATGGAAATCTCCAAGGTCAAAAGGTCAAAGTTGTTGATATATCCTAGTTTCAACCGTTCAAAAGTTATGGCCAAAGTAAGTTAAAATTTTTTGTATAAAAGTGGGTCAAATCCTTAGGCCAAGGTCAAAAGGTCATTTTTGGTGGTACCCAAAGAAAGCTCTTGTCACAAGGAATACACATGTGAAATATAAAAGTCATAGCTCCACTAAATCAAAAGTTATGGGCAAGGTTAAAGTTTTTGTGACGGACAGACAAACTGACAGACAGACGAATGAGATTTAATATCCCCTCGCTTTTGCAAAAGTGGGGGACAACAAGACCTTCACTAGGGTATAGATATTTTTTTTACCTCTGACCTTGACCTTAGAGTTTGACCCACTTTTGGCCATAACTTTGAAAAAATTTTAATGAACTATCGAGTTTTAAGTTTAAGGGTCATGAGTATGGTAGCCATGGTAATAACAAGCCAAAATGTCAAGCAATACATGTGCAAAATATGAAATCCAATTATCTTTTGCATCTCCTCAGACAGATGGACAGAAACTGGGGTAAACAATATGGTAATGTGATCCCTGCTTGATCACTTGATCAGTGTCTCTCTGCTCTGTGGATGAACAACTCGTTTACATTCCTCAATAATTTTATTATTGGTGGCATTGAGCATTCAATCTATGAAATATCTTTCTTCAAGCGGAAAATATTTTTTCAATTAAAATTTACGATTTATAACACTTCTGATGTACCATATATATATATACGTCCGACAAAAATGAAAGTAATTTTTTTCATAATTAAATAAAGGTTACAGATTTGTTGATTTTAATGTTAATTAATCACGAACATTACCAGTAATCCCCTCTTCTCAACTCCGTTTTTAAAAAGTCCCTGATTTTCTCACATTCTTCGTCTATGTTGTCAGAAAACATGTCCAAAATTCATTTGATCATCTGATAGATCAGAGTCTAGGGAAAGCAGTATCTGAAATAAATATAGATTTTAATGATTTCGTTCGGATTAGATCAATGTGGATAAATACCTCGAGTTTTCAAAATGTAAATACAATAAAAAAAAAAATTCAATAATAAAGACACTACTTTGTAAAGCTTGAACAGACGGATTCAGATGGGGTTAAAGTAAGTACAGGCACCTGACGAATGGTTAGACCCCCTCCCCTTTATTATTTTTTTTTAGATATATGTATAAATCACATGTTACAAGGCACTAAAGGAGTTAATGAAGACAGCTGCATAACTGCAGCTCTAGATCTTTGGGAAAAAAAAAATTTCATTGACCATGTTGACAGACCTGTGAGCTACAGTGCCACGCACTGCAAAAAGTGTATACAGTGTATAAAATTATATTTATTGCGCACAAAAAAGTGCGCTATTTACTCGATTTATTTCTCCAAAAACTGCCATAGCCCTGCTAGTCCTAAAATTGAGATCATCAAAAAGAAGTCGGTTCACTTTATGCATAAAATGGCCCTGTAAATATATATACCAACTGATTGATCAACACTTGATTTTCTAATTGAAGACTTGATGCTTTCATATCATTGAAAATGATCTCCTAAAAGTCCAGGTCTTGGAGAACTGGCTTTATGAAATTGCAATGTTCTTGAATTTTTAGGTAAACAGGTATAATTGAGTACTTTCACGGAAGAAAAATAATATAGGTCTTCTTCCTCTTTACTTCAATTCTCGACTGAGATATCGTATTACAGTCAGACTGCCTGACAGAAATACAGACAGACAGACAGAAAGACATACCGAAATTAACATCCCCCTTTCACTTAAAGCGGGGGACAAAAAAAATTAAGGTATTACACATGTACGATCCTCAGGTTCTGAAAATCAGCCATTGTCAACTAATTGAAAATACTCACAAAAGTAACATGTTTTTAACCAATATAATTTTTCAAATGTCATCTTTAAAGTTAATCATATCATAGGCGTCGAATGCAATTTGAAAGTTGGGTGGGGGGTAAACCAACAAAAAAAAAAGGTAAACCCTAATTCCAATGCATATAATCAATGATCATATTATGTCTTTCTCTACAAAAAATAGGGGAGAGGCTGAGCCTTCCCCCGGTTCCGACGCCTATGCATATAGGGTAAATTAGTATATCTAGAATAATTTTCAGGAAAAGCGAATTAAAACACCTATATATGCATCTTCCAATTCCAATTTGATTAACAAACACATTTTAGAAATAAAAATCATAGATATCCAGGCTTTTGAAGATATTGCATACATAAAAGGGCATTTTAATTTCTTCTCTTTACTTCGATCAGTTTGCAACGCATAGTATATAAAGATCTACCTATCATTGCAAAACACCATAATCACCTTTATTGTCCCCCGCTTGAAAAGTGGGGGATATTAATTTGGGTTTGTCCGTCCGTCCGTCCGTCCGTCCGTCCGTCCGTCTGTCCGTCCGTCCGTCCGTCTGTCCGTCCGTCCGTCCGTCTTTCTGTCTGTCTGTAACGCTTTCGTTTCCACACGATATCTCGAGAACCCTTTGAGCTTTTGCAATGAAATTTAGCATAGCAACTCCCTATGCACTAAAGAAGACCCCTATTGATTTTGAGGTCAAAAGGTCAAAGGTCAAGGTCATAAATAAGCAAATTCTGTCTGTTAAAACACTTTCGTTTCCACACGATATCTCTAGAACCATTTGAGCTATTGCAATGAAATTTTACATAACAACTCCCTGTGGCCTAATGAAGACCCCTATTGATTTTGAGGTCAAAAGATCAAAGTTCAAGGTCGTAAATTTATTCATTCTGTCTGTGTGTAACACTATCATTTCCGGGCGATATTTCAAGAAGATTTTGAGCTTATGCAATGTAATTTTATACCAAAACTCCCTAGGACGTCTCTCGCCCCTCTCAAAGTGCCCCGCCCCGTTTGTTTTATTGGTATTTATAGTATTACATGTCGCTATTTTTAGCGCAGGGGCATGAGGAGAGTTATTGTGTATAAAACAGGTTCTCAGCGGACTTTATGTTCTTATTACATCTATTAGAACTGTTTAATAAAGGCTAAATAAATCAAACACCATGGATTGTGTAAAATTTTGAGAATACCGAACATGAAAACATTAATATATACATGTATGTGACTTCAATTCTGCATATACTTCACACCTTGTAAAGCGGCACCGTGGTGTAGTGGTTATGTCTCTCGCTTCGAATGTGAGAGGTCCCGGCATCGATTCTCGGTCGATCCTTTCTTTTTTTAAATACCTTTTTTTTTTTACTAAATGGTAGTATTCAGCATGTGAAATGAAAAATTTACGAGGTTATAAAATCATCATTACAGTGTGATAAATATTCCATATAAAAAATCTTCTATACACATAATAAAGAATAAGCAATCAAATCTTTATATGCATATTGACATACATGTATTTTATTTCCTTCAGTATACATGTATACATTTAATAATTCTACAAATTCAGTCAGGGGGAGCCGACTTTTTCCTTAAGCGGGGGACACGAATTCTCTGAATTAGCTTGTTTTTTTTAAAACAAACATTAGTATGTTTTTATAAGTTTCGACTTTTTGTAAGACCTTTCTGTGAACTTCAAAGCACATTGAGAAGTATAAAAAAAAAATGAAAATTGTTGCATGAAAAGATTTCATTTTCAAGCTTTTTTGTTATCCCTACTGCCGGAAATATTTAATCTCGTACGTCTTTGGGTCCTATGTTAATTTTGTCACGTGATTACACAAGTATGGCGACTCTCGAAGATAAAGCGATCTGGGAAGATGGAGAAGTACGTTTTTTACTTTTATGTACTTTTAGTCACTATAACTTAAAGATTTTTAAATTTACGACTACATTGCATCCTTGCTTTATTATTTTATCTTGTTTTTAGTGAGGCATTATTTACTACAAATTATAACCATCTTTTTACTCGCAAAAATCACTTTGTCATGGTGTTTGAACGTGCGTTTACATCCAGAATTTTATTATTTTGTTGTAATTTGAAGTTCTTTATAACCTCTTTAGTGTTGAAACACACGATAAATATAGATAAGTACGTCGATGAGCCAAGAGAGGGTGACATTTTCACTTTACATTATTAGCTTCCGAATTTCCTCCATCCATGACATATTCATATTCACGCACGTTACTATCTTAACTAGTATGTTTCGAATTTTCTCCCTGAATGGATAATTGCTCATTAAATTTCATTCAGTGGTAAAAGAGGACTTGCGGATAAGAGTTTAGATTCCCCAAAGCATAACACACGGACGGAGGGACAGACAGACATACAGATAAACGGACGTCCCGATTACTATATTATCTTCCGCTTTTCAAGCTGGGGGTATAAAAAACTGACTTATAGGGGAGTATATACAGTATTTTATTCTGCATTAAGTAGTGTTCAATAATCGGGAAAATTTCATAATTGATAATCGGTCAAAATCGGAGAAGCTTAATCGATCAATGATCGACTTAATTGGTAATTAAAATTTCAAATACAAAATTCAATTTCTTTATAGCATTTATCATTTATGCAACAAACTAAAATTAAATTTTATCAAGTTTATTCTAAAGACAACTTTTTCTTGTATAAGTAACAAAGAAACAGAAAAAAATATGTATTTGCTCATAAAAACTATAAATGTTCATCATGACATCAGATTTTGCATTCCCTAGTTAGAATAACCTAACTGTGTCTCAATAAAGCCCTCACCACAGTTAGAATACGTCACATATACTTGCAATGTAGCAAATCAGAGTGGATCCGCTTCAAAATGATTTTGAAGAATATAAAAGGATTTGCACTTGAAATAACTTCTAAATTAATTGCTTATGACTTTTATCCCAAAAAATAATCCATATAAAGTTAAAAGACGACAATCCAATTAATGTTCTCCACGTTTTCTCTTACTTCAAATTTACCTGCCGTGTTTACATTCAACTCTCTAGATTGTCCGAGTATGAGTTATTGCCAGTGTTTGTTTCACTACATTACGAATACACGGAACAAATTCCATCTTTAAACCCGGTCTGTAGGACAACATCATTTTAACGATAGAACAGTCTATCTATGCATTCCCTGGATATGGGTAAATTTCTATGTTGTTGTTAACTTCGTCTTCAGACGCCATTTTTGTTGAACCTCCTTTCGTTTTACATGAATTGTTAATGCGTACTTATTTGTTTCATTCAAATTGTCCGAGTTTATTTGGGCAAGTTTATGTGGGCGACAATCGATTATGAAAAGCGTAATAGATAATCGGAATCGAACACCCAAAAACGATCGACAATCGATCGTCGGCGACAATCGTTTCATCACTAGCATTAAGCATTTAAGGTCATTGATGAATCTTCAGGTAAATCATAATCTGCTTGATGAAAGTGTTCAGCAAAGAAATTTGAAATGACTTCAAAAGACAAATACATTCTTCTGTTGTACATTGTACACTTTTAAATGGCCAGGAATTCTGTATTAAACATGTATGTGTTTTGTTTTTATCTTGACAGGAAAGTTTAGGTGAACAGATTCTGAAACTGAACACAGATGAAATTGTTACAAGGACAAAACTGCTTGAAAATGAGATCAAGGTATGTATAGATTTTTCCCTTTATTGATATTTTATTAATTAGTAGCAAATTGATAGAAATGATGATGGGTTTTTGTTAATTTTTGTTTATGGTTACAGATTATGAAAAGTGAAATTCTGAGGATAAACCATGACTTGACAGCAACAAAAGAAAAAATCAAAGAAAACACGGAGAAGATAAAAGTCAACAAAACTCTGCCATACTTGGTTTCAAATGTTATTGAGGTAATTATTGCTTTGGATTATTCAAGCCTTAAAAATTACATCTGTTCTGCTCAGTACCTGTAGTTCATTGGAGATGTCAACAAGCTTAAATTTACTTTTAACCAGTCTTGCCGATACAATGCTCATATTGTAGAATTATTTTGATTTCTGAAGATCAGTATTTATCAGATACCCCAATTCAACAGTATTTTAGGGACAAATTTAAATGGTAACTTTGATTGGCAGAAGATCAAAATTTTTGGATATATATTTAAAGGGTGAGCCAAAAATCCATGAACATTTATTATTTAACAGTAATAATGTATGTATAAAGCAAACTTTTCAAACAGAAAATTCTACTGCTACCTTGGCTAGTGAAAATGGTAAAATTTAAAAGATTTAGCTTAGAGAATCCTCAAACATTAATAGTTCACTAATAATAATGCATTTATAAAGCAAATTTTTCAAACAGAAAATTCTAATGCTACTAGGTGTTAGTAAAAATGATGAATTAAAAAAATATAACTCATCTCACTGCAGTCAGGACAACTAAGCTTCTGCTTTATCCTGGTGTTAGTGTCAGTATCAGCATCTTTACAACCTCCAGATTACTTATGTTTAGGTGTGAATATTAGTGTATTCACTTTTCAAAAAAAGATTTCTCAAAAATGATATGTAACTAATATATATCATTAAATGAAACAGAATTCAAAAACTTTTTTCTCTATGAAAAATTCTAGTTACTGGACATGGAACCCCAGGACAGTGGGGAGGAAGACGGAGCTAACATTGATCTTGACGCACAGAGAAAGGGCAAATGTGCTGTGATAAAGACATCCACAAGACAGGTATCTTAGGTTTAAATCTTTATTCTATAGGCTCCAAACTCTCTGTTTCATCCAATAAAAACCAAAGAAACTTTAGAAAATTTCAGTTTTAGATAACTTTAATGGAAAAGGTCAGAATTTAATAAAAGTTCTTGCAACGACTCTTGATGATTACTTAACAGGTTTATGTAAAATTATTGAACTGATGAATTTTCTGTATTTTCAGACATATTTCTTACCAGTCATTGGATTGGTAGATCCAGAAAAACTGAGTCCTGGGGACATTGTGGTAAGATACTCAGTTCCATTAAAATCTTTTTGACTGTCAGTATCTTGGTCAAATGACGAATGGAATATTTATACTTTATTTTGAAGAAGGAAAAAGAATTCATGAGCAATTAAAAAAATATATTTTGAATATTTATAGGGCGTTAACAAGGATTCCTACCTGATATTGGAGACCTTACCTCAGGAGTAAGTGAAATACTAGACATATTGATTACATGTACTTCATCAACAAAGAATTAATTTCAAAAGATAGAAGTGATTTCTTATCAGAACCAAGAGACATAGCATTGAATTGCATTGTTTTATGTGTTGGATATCTGATGTTTAGAGATATTGAATTGAAGTTTCTTTTTGATCATTTGACAGGTATGACTCCCGAGTGAAGGCTATGGAAGTGGATGAGAGGCCCACAGAACAGTACTCAGATATTGGTGGGCTTGACAAACAGATTCAAGAGGTAGGTCTAAGTCCCACAACAAATAATGGATAAATAAAGAGAAAAATAATATAGAAGTGTATACATTTTCATCAATAAAATCTCATTACCTTTCAGCTCATTGAAGCAGTAGTGTTACCAATGACACACAAAGAAAGATTTGAAGCTCTTGGAATTCAACCACCAAAAGGCATGAACCCCCCCCCCCTCCCCCCCAAGAAAAAAGAAAAAAAAATGTTGATTGCACTTTTGAATATTCAATAAAATTTGTAATTCTAACATTTCAAATGAGAATGCAGTCAGATTATTGTTACACTAGTGTCATCATTATTTTCCAGGTGTGTTACTGTACGGTGCCCCAGGAACTGGTAAGACCCTTCTAGCTAGAGCCTGTGCAGCACAGACCAAGTCAACGTTTCTAAAGCTGGCCGGTCCTCAGCTGGTGCAGATGTTTATTGGAGATGGAGCTAAACTCGTCAGAGATGCATTTGCCCTCGCTAAAGAAAAACAGCCAGCAATCATATTTATTGACGAGTTGGATGCGATAGGTAATGAACTCTTATCAGTACATGTAGTGTTTTTGCATGTATGATTGACAAATAAAAACATTGGCTGTGAGTCAGTATTGTCTTTATTCCATGAATGAATTTTGTTTCTATAGGAACAAAGAGATTTGATTCTGAGAAGGCTGGTGACAGAGAAGTTCAGAGAACTATGTTGGAGTTACTGAACCAGATGGATGGTTTTATGCCTAATGCACAAATTAAGGTATTTATGTGAAAATCAACCATGCCACTGAATGGTAGAGTGATGAATAAAGTTTTTGTTCAATATAAAGAAAAGTTGCACTTCAAGTACAGTCAATTCTCGAATTATCGCCATTCGATTCATCGCCATTTTCGCTATACCGCCATGATTTCCCAAGAACGTTTTTCCTGCTATATAAAATTCTCTTTATAACGCCAAATTCGCATACCGCCATCCGCCACCCTGTTTTCACAACAAACGTCCATTTTTAAGTGTCAATTATCTCGATATACCGCCACAGGTGCATGTGGTCAGTGAAGCGCGGCTAATTGGTTGACACTATCCCTGTTGTAAAGCATGCAAAGGCAGACAAGGTACATGCAATTAAGTAATTAAATAAGAACAAAATAAACAATAATTTTAACTTGAACTATTATAATAATTTTGTTTTCTGTTTAATAAAAATATTTAGTCACGGTTTCGCCACGAAAGCGGTCGTGGTTAAAGTACGCCGATAACGATAATATTTTGATGATCTCTACTTTTAACAATGCAAAGTTTGCTGAAAAAATAATTATACGGTATAAAATGTGAACGTTTTACAATAATGCCATAAACAGTGAATTTATTCAAGAATGCATTTTACATACTATCGGCAATATATCACGACGATCGACCCAGCATGTTTTTTTTCAATATCAGGCGTGCAGATTTACATGCATACACATGTACTTGTTTTTATTTCATAACTGCACATTTTATTTTAGCGAAATTGTACATTAAAAAAAATTACTTGAAGTATTTTCAACCAGAAATATGTTTTTATATACATGTATATGTATTATTAAGAATAGAAACGCTAAATGGTATTTCTAAGAACGGTAACTCTACTTGTTTTCTAAAAGATGGAAAATTCAATTCATCGCCAAATTCGTTATACCGCCATGATTTCTAAATAACAAAAGGTGGCGGTTTATCGAGAATTAACTGTACATGTATCTTACTGCTTTTGGATTGAAGTATCAGAAAAATTCTTCAGAGAAAACTGGATATTTTTATTTAAAGTGAAATCTTCATGAAATAAAACTATTTTAACAGAGAAACAATCTTTAAATTTCAAATTTGAACCTATATAGCTCACAACAAAAGAAAACTGGAAAAATTATTCTGATCATTTTTCAAGGTGATAGCTGCCACAAACAGGGTGGACATTTTGGACCCTGCTCTGCTAAGGTCAGGGAGGTTAGACAGAAAAATAGAATTCCCACACCCCAATGAAGAAGCAAGGGCTAGAATCCTACAGATCCACTCCAGGAAAATGAATGTTAGGTAGGAGCAATTCATAAATGCTTTTTGTTAATCAACATGCCTTTAAAAAATGAAAGAAACGCACTTAATCATATGGATCTTTTTAGTATGATGTCAGATGTGTGATTATTTTTGATATACAAGAATAATTTTCATAAAGTAGTTCATATTAAATAATTTAAAAACTTTAAAATAAAATATTTTTCCTTAAAATGAATTTGACTTTTGAATTGTAGCAAAGAAGTTAATTTTGAGGAGTTGGCCAGATGTACAGATGATTTCAATGGTGCCCAGCTCAAGGCAGTATGTGTGGAAGCTGTAAGTCAGTGTTTATAATTGTAGTTGTACATTTTAATGGTAACATCCATTCATTCTCTGTATATGAATGACAATATATGGACACTGAAAAAAGGGTGCAGTTTAGCAGTGTGTTATCATCTTCAATTTGATGCAGCTTAATGATGTGGGGATGCATGAGAAAGATAGAAATGCATTGTTGTTTTATATTTTAGAGTATGATTTGTTTTATATTTTAGGGTATGATTTGTTTTATATTTTAGGGTATGATTGCATTAAGGAGGGAAGCCACAGAATTAGACCATGAAGATTACATGGACGCCATTATTGAAGTACAAGCCAAGAAAAAAGCAAACCTCATGTATTATGCTTAAAGACAGTGAATTTCACAGTGTTAGGACTTTGTCGTCATCTTTGAGATCTGAAATAATGGAAACAAATACAACTGATGCTGAATGACATTTTGTGAATGAAACATTCAAAGCTAATGTCATTTATAATTAGTGACAATATATTTGAGTAAATGTTATTAAATTCAGATCTTTACTCATGAAAGCATGCTCTTTCCTTTTGCAGAGAGTAATATTTAATATTAGTATTACATGTATTCTAGTAGTCAAAGTCCAAGTGTAAATTAGAAATAAGGTGCAGTGAAAAGCAACTCACCTGCAAGGAAGAAATATTTCTCTCAACAAATCATTGTATGCTGATATTGAATACCACATGTGATTGTGAAGCATCATGAAATATTATTAGAATACATGGCAACGTGAGGATATCAAAATTAATACTAAGATGTTGTAAAGTGTGCGATTCTGGAAGGTCGGTATTATATTTTGGCTTGTCTCTGACTGTAAACTTTTGTTGCTTACGTAAAGCAAGTTTTTGTCCAAAATGATTTTAAGGTCAGACAATACGTTCCTCAAAAATATATAATTTTCCCCAAGAACTTGTCATTGGAGTATAAGTACTTAAACAAGTTTCCTCACAAAAAATTAGGGTACCTTACAAGGCATTTGGACAGGATACCATGGATGATATTATTTCTTATATCCCATATCATCTGAATGGCCTTTATCATAATTTTTTATGCACTTATATTTAAAAACATATTGAAAACAATGTAGAAATCACAAGAGAATGACAAATATGCATGATTATTTATATAATACCATGAAATACAAAAGATATATTTGAGGAACGTGTCATCTGACCTTAATCAAAAGTAGGTAGTGCGTAAAGACATGTTGCAAGCTAACGCATATAATTTATGTCCCCTTCATGATGAAAAACAGACAAGGAAAGATAAAAGACATTAAATGCTGATGGAATAGGGAAAAAATGGACCTTTCAGTTTTTTGGCCTAAAGTATTAATTAAAGTAATACTGGAGTTTAGAAGAAGTAATTCTGGAAGGGAGAAACAAAACAGTTCCATCATTAATCGAAGGTTTCTACAATGCCTGAATCTGTTGCTTTTGTTTGTCTGTTCTAATTTCTCAACAAAACAAACGTATAGTTCTGCAGCTTCTCTGATACCAACTATATATTTTTAACCATTGTCTTTGAATACCATATTTTAATAGGAGCTGAGGGATGTATATACTTCAGTACCCCACGGATGGTGGGTGTTTGTTGGGATTTTCTCAACCAGGAAAGTAGATTCTGCAGCTACTTTGATGCCCACCATATAGAAATTCCGGTTTATTTTTAATTAGCTTACATTTACACTTTGCTGACAGCAGTTTAGTCAGTACTTGGAATGAAATAGTAAAACAGCAAAGTTATTTGACAAAATTGACGTTTCTTCAGCGATATAAGAACAAAAAAAACCCACATGAAATCCAAATCTGTTTATTCATCACAAATGCATCGATATGCATAAAAAAAGAAGATATTTAACATATGTATATGTAAAATTGTCAAACGTACAAGTTTTGTTGTCGATGTAACAAGTAAGTCATACGAATATAAGGTCATGATACACAATACCCAAGGTACACATGGTAAAAATTAAAATCCGGCAAAAAAAAAAAACAACGCATATTTAATCGGAAAAAATAAGTTTAAATCTTGCATGACTGTGCCATTTTTACATGAAGCATCTCTAAGCTGTATTCCAGTGGATGTAGGTGAAAGCCTGACCACTTCTCTAAAGTAGATGTAAGCTAAAGTCTGTCAACTATTTAAAAGAAAATACACACATCACAAGATGCTTCCCAATTCATTTAAAGTACGTTGGTCATGAGGTTATATTAATTTACGGTTAATTATCCCGTTCGTGCCGACTCGTGCAAACTTGGTAATAAATCGTGTTAAATCGAATACCTTATGCAAGAACATAATGTTTTCTATAATGAGAAGAAAAACATATTGCATCGTCATAATTATACAACCTTACAAAAAAATTCATTAGGATTTTTACGAGCAATCCATCTCATTTCTTATTTATACGACTTGCGATGAAGAAATCATCCATTTGACTAAATCTGAATTCTAATTTTGCTTTGATTCTGGTTAACAAAAGTAAAATCATTACAAAACACAAAAGTTAGATATACATGTACACAAAAAATTAAAGCAAAAGCTCAAAGTACACAATATCCATGTTAATAATGTGAGATTCTAAGAAAAGATGGGGACATATTTCCTACTATGCAAGCAAGAAAATAAACAAAATTTAAACTTATCTATAACTTTGAATAAAACTCGATAAAAAAAATATTGAGTGTAAAAATATCACATATACATTCGTAGTAAATGCCCATAACAACTTAACAAAATGTCCAAACTAAAGTATACCGGTATTTAAAAAAATGTACACATTTATACATGATGTACATCACCAGATTACCATTTTAAGGTTCATCAACCCTCTAAAGAAAGATAACTCTAATTAGGATATAAAATATACTTTAGTACATCATTTTAGGGTACATGAACCATCGAAAGATAACTCTTGATAGAATATAAAAAATATACATGTAGTACATAACAAGATTTCCATTTTAAGGTTCCTCAACCTACTAAAGAAAAGATAACTCTAACTAGGAAATAAAAAAAAGTACCTTAAGTTCATTGCGAGGTTTCCATTTTAAGGTTCATCAACCCTCTAAAGGAAGATAATTCTATTACTAACTAGGATAAATGTCTATTGTTGTCTAAATAAAATACCGGTATATAGTTGCAAAGTATGCTGAAAATGTTTGCATTTTAATCATAAATGAACAATAACCAGTCCATTTAATGATCAACAGAGATCTGACAAACCCACAATAGCACCAAATTTTTTTTATATCCAAACACAGGCACTTTGTTTCGTATACGGGCACATCACCTTATTTTTTTTTACCACATGGGTTAATGAATTTTTTGGTAAAAATTAGGGGTGCCCTGTATACGAAACAAGTGCCTGTGTATCTAACGCTAAGACGCTATTAATCATCAGGAACGGTAACTTCTACAGAGAAATCACTGTGCCTCTTTGTCTGGCCTTTGTATTTCTCAAACAGGGGGATAAATAACATCAGGAGTCCACCCACTATAATGACGACAGCAGAAAAATAAAAAGCGGTAGCTGGTGAATTCGTCGCTTCTCCAATCCAACCTGTCATAATAAAAGAGAAAATGTTGAATTTTGGGGGAATTTAGAGCAAATTTTAAGAAAAGAAACTCAGCAAACTACACTAGAATTCTATCAACTCGACTTTGTAAGAAATTCAGTGTGTAATATAAACTGATAGTTTTCTATGTCAATTGAACTTAATTCTATTTTCCCCCGATACTTGAAGCTAGATCATTCCTATTTTCCCCGATACTTGAAGCTAGATCATTCCAAATATTCACAAGGGTTAATCATACTTAGATTAGATTGCAATGACAGTAAACTGGTGCCTCTGGTTTGAAGTGCACCTTGGGAGGAACGTTAACTTACCTCCTATTGGAGGACCGGCGACACAACCGATGCCATTGGCCAACATCAGGAACCCCATGGCGTCTCCTAAATACTGAATCCCCACTAAATCCGCCGTCACAACGACCAGCAGTCCTAATAATAAACCAAACATTTTTCCCCATAATACTCCAACAATCCCTAGTCCGAACATGGTGTGGGTGAATTCTAATGGAATGAACAGTCCTATGATTCCTACAGCTAAATTCACAAAAATAAACAGGTATAGTCTATTTATCTTTGGTATATTGCCGATGACACCTCCTAGAACACACCCGATGAAAGATCCGCCACTGAAAAGTGAAATAAGAATGGCTGCCTGTGTCTGAGAAAAATTAACGGAAGTGAAATACTCCGGACCTAACACTAGTGGTATAATTGTTCCAAAATTCCAAAGAATGTTATTGACAACAAATATACAAAATGGTACATTGCGGCACAAAGTTAACAAAACCACTAGAATTGAATTAGACTTCGTATTTTCGTTGGAGGATTCGTTGGTAAGAAGATTTTCGTTTTCTAAGTCATCCATCGCTATACCATTAGTTTCCCGCTTTTTCAGTACACCATTCACCTCGTGTCCTTTAGGTATTGCCGATTGCAGAGACGAATCGGAAGTGCTTGCCTCTATCAGAAGACTTTCCCTCTCAATCTGACAAGAATCGTTTCTTTTAATCGATTTCATTTCAATCATTTTTTCCTTCGCCTTTTGTTGCCGTTGCATTGGCGATTCTCGAAGAAGAGCCGCGAAAATGAAAGTGTTCAGATTGATCCCAGCCACTATAAGTAGCGATCCTCTCCACCCGAACTCGTCAGTGAGGTACTGGACGAGATTTGGGAACACGATCCCCCCGAGTCCCGACCCTGCTGTCGCCACCCCTGTCGCCAGGCTTCTGTGTTTGTCGTAGTACAGACCAGACATTGTATGAGAGGGGACGTACAATAAACAGTAACCAATACCTGTAATAGACATAACATCTTTACATTTTAAATACTAGAGTTATCTCTCTTTTATGAATATATATTATGGCGGTTCACTGTTTTCAACAGGCACAAGATTTAAGGAAGCTGTCGTGATGGCGTAATTTTTATAACACATCGTCGCGCTTATACAAAGAACAAGGTTCACTTTTGCCTTATTTGGCCCTGTGAATTTCTGAAAAACTGAAACTGCATAGTTTTAGTTAACAATGTATTAAATATCAGTTAGATCTTCGGTGACTGCGTATCTATGAAAAATGACGTCATGTTCTGGCTAGTCAATGCATTATGACGTCACGAAATGCGTCAATTTCCTCATATTCTGAAAAAATGTACAAAACGTCCAATTTTTAAAGCTATTTTTTGATATTTCATATAGAGCGCAACCTCTAATCTAAAATACATGTATGCAACTAGTAAATGATATAACTGTTTCCTAGGATTAATGGACGTTTTATTTTTTAGATCAGAGAGTGCGCTCATATTATTTTTCTTCACTGAAAGTACTCAATTATACCTGTTTACCTAAAAATTCAAGAACATTGCAATTTCACAAAGCCAAGTCTCCAAGACCTGGACTTTGAGGAGAAAAAATTTTTAAAAGGATATGAAAGCACCAAGTCTCTACTTTATTTTAATGCTTCAAATAGAAAATCAAGTGTTAATCAATCAATAGGTATATCTACAGGGCCATTTTATGCGTAAAGTGAACTGACTTCTTTAACAACATGACATCACATTTAGGATAATTTACACACTACTGCATTGCCTCCACAGCACGTCGCTGTGTATTAGTGCGACGGAATGTTTTGTATGAGGACTTTTGCATATATACATGTATTTGATTTAACGTAACGGAGCGTTGTTGCCAGGCAGTGAGCGGCTATAGTTTTGCACGTTGTGCATGCCTACCTGTCAGAATTCCATAGAAAAAGAGGAGATAAATCATGTTCATTGTAAATGGTAGGGCAATAAGCCCAGTGCTACTCAGTACAGCCCCCAAGAGACAGACTTTGCGGTATGACATCATCCTCATCATTATACTGGCCAGAGGACCTAAAGTAGAGAAAAGATAAGTACAGCTTTTCTTGTGTGTCGAATAAATTACAAAAATTAGCAATTTCTGTATATTTTTAAATTAAAAAATTAAATTAACGCAATTTGGTTGGCATTTAAAAATCAAAATTTTAAAAGACATTTTTATTATTTTAGCTTTTAGCTCGGTTTTTAGCTTCTCTCTGGCGCAATTTCGACTAACCTTGGTTCACAGGAATAGAGGTTACAGAGAGGTAGAAACTTGTTCATATATGAATAACCAAAATCTTTCTCAAGGATTATATTAAAGTTAAAATCATGGATAAATAATAATTAATTATCGTTCTTAAATACTTCTATATATGCAAAAAAATGTAGATGGAAATCTATGCAAAAGGTATAGTGAAACGAACGAGCATTGTGAACCATAGCTGTCTTGTATGAAAAGTAACAAAATGCATTGAAGAAAAAAATGTCATACTGATATCTAAGTACACATCATTAACGGTGCTCAAAAACATACAATTGATCTAAATACCTGCACCCAGAAAAAGTCCTATGTTTATGGAACCGATGAGTGATATAAATGGCAAACTGACATCGAAATGACGCAGAAGTTCCACAATGTAGACTCCAAAGGAGGTAGCCACACCAAAGGCGATAAACTGTATCCAGAAAGCCGAGGCTATAATCATCAGTCCCCACGGGTTGTCCACCTTTCGACAAGCCATCTTCCTTAAACACTCCGGCTGTGGATGCTCAGACTAAACAAGAAGAAAACAAGCATCCCAGTACATCATTTATAAACTAAACGACATAAAAACAACCCACTCTCGTTTTAGGATTGTGCGGATGATGGAGGAAGTTCCGGTCTTGTTTTTTCTGTTTAACATCCAAGGATCCGGAAATAGGGTGAGATTACGAACAACAAATTCACATGAATAAAAAATAGTAATTAGTACTTAATTGAAGTTAAGTAAGTGCAAATTGATTAATGCTGAATCTCAGGTATCCGGAGATTTTCACGATTAAGAATGTTGTTGACTTAGGTGACCCATGGCATGGGTCAAATGGTCACGTGATCATTAGATGTTTGGATTATAAAGGTAGACTTATCAGTACTATAGTCCATAATTTCAAGAAATGTCAATAATTTATTAAGCCTCTTGGTCAGTGCATTTTGCGTAGTTATCAAGTCGATCTGCAAAATTAATACTAGTTTTCTAGTATCGGAAATTTTACCACTTGTACCTCATAAAGAAAAAAAAGGACAAACATTTGCAGCTACCAGGAGTCTTTAATGGGAATGTAACTCTACTGATTTGAGCACATGGAATTTGGTCTTTTAACATTTTTAACAACATAATTAATTCGAATTGTGTTGTAATAATATTATAATGTTTCCTTATGTTCCAAATCAAAATTGGAATAACATTTGGTAAGGAATCAGGAAATTATTATATATATTAGTGACGATGACAACACTATTCATCAAATTCCAAACAAATGTTTTTACGTATACTAGTATTTGGTTTCTGTTTAAATTACATGCAAACTTTTATTGAAATCTAACCAAAGCTGTAGGAGGAGTAGCAATTATTTTTTTAAAATTATTATACAAACATCCGTCACTTGTTCATTGCGTAAGTTCTGCTGGTTTACAGACTCTGTACTACGGAACTACTTCAACATAAAGCTCTCCTGATTGTCCACACGTTTTAGCCTATTCATAGACATATTAGTTCATCTGTTACATTAATTTATATCCTTATTTTTCTGGCGATAAATCAATCTAATTGAATTTGTTGCAAGTAAATAATGTTCCTTGTCAAACACTAAAAAATTTTAATAAACCAAATACTGAATTCTAGACAAATCTATTAAACATGTTAGTTTAATTTTGGATTGGAAAATACAAATGTACTATGTTTAAAGCAATATGAGCTGCATTTTAATTTTTTGAAAATTTTATTATGCTGTAAAATGTGGTATCATGATAAATTAGTATGTAACTTAAACCTTTATGATAAATTAGACCAAAAGAAAGCAGAAGAAAGACTTCTATAGACAATCCAATATACAGTTTTGTATGAAATCATTATTGTACACCTGTAGGACAACAATAATGTAAAATTCAATCGAAGCTCATAAATAGTTCTTCCATCTAAATTAGGAACAATAGAAGTTTATTAACGTTATTTTTTCTGTCATCGAAATAGTAATTTACAATTTTGCAAAAAAAAATCCAACATCAATGTTGCAGCTCATATTGCTTTAAGGGATAAAACAGAATGAGCATGCAGTTGTTCCAGCTGTAGGGCACACATATCAATGACCCGTCTTTTCTATATCTCTTATCTATTACATGTAACTGGAATCCATAATACATGTATTATCATTATAATAGAGGGCATTTTCCAGATTTGTGGATCTGACAGGTCGGTATCAAATAATGTTAATTTTTAATCTGGCAATATAAAGGCTCTTTGTCAAGGTGTAGACTTCTTTTAATCGAAAATGTCTGTTACCATAAGTACTAAGTAGCCTAAGTAGGCTATAAGATGCGAGCGGATTAACCCGAAAGTATGTTGATAAATAAAATAACTACAATAACAGACGTCTTAATATGCATTATTAATAGATAATCGGATGTTGTCGTTGTGATTTTAGAATCATGTCAAAGAATTTGTGCTTTTGAATATGAGATATTCAGCTTTTCAGATCATGCTTTCTGTCCTGGCCCAGCCCCCACCTACCCACACTGTTCATCAGAAATGAGGGTGAGGGTAGGAGTGTCCTAAGACTATTGTTTTCACACAGTCAGATGTGAGTTTCATTTACATCGAAATTAGCATGATTAGTGTAATTTTTTTTTATAATGAATGATACATATTTATTTCTTTTTCTTGGGAACAGAGGGGATGTTTTTATAACAGTCTTTGACTTGTTAATTATGTATTTATTCATATAATAGTAAAGAATCATGTCACTTGATCACGATATGGAAATTAGCAGAGCAAACTCGGGATAATTACTTACCATACAAAAAGTTAACTCGGACAGGGAGGACAAGCCGGGCCTCAAACAGCCGATACTCCTTGATAGGCCTTGCTTTTGAAGTTAGACAGTTTTATTAAAGCCACTTATTATACGTCTCTGCTTAAAATTCCACAATATTTCCATTTTGCATTAATTTCACAAAAACTCGCTAATTAACACGTACAGGTATGATTCGGAACAAATACCATTGATCATCTATACCTTTACAGCACTGAGCAAACCCAGACAATCACATGCTTTGGTTGTAATACAAATGAATATCAATGTTTCCTTGTATATATAAGATTTCAAACATAATCATTAACATCTGGTATACTTGAGCTGGATCATTTTTTTAAAAAACGCATATATCTTATGAATTCAGACATTCTTTAATGCTTCAAAATTATTTTTAGAAATCTGAATAACCCGCAGGGTTTATACGGCACGGATCTTAGTGATCTGATTTAATCAGATTTAAAAAAAAAAAAAAAAAAAAAAAAAAAAAAAAAACAAGACATGTTTGTGAAATATTGATGCCCTGTATGGCAACTCAAGGTCATCGTGAAACTTTTGAAATGAAGGTCAAACGCCAAGCCGGAGGTCAAAATTGTTGGTACCTAAAGCAAAGAAACGCCGGATCACGTGAAATACATGTGAGAATAACTGAAACCCTAGCAGAAACCAATCAGGTACAGGCAAATGCTTATATGTTCTTCAAAACAAGGTCCTATTCTAAGATCAAGGCCATGAGGTAAAAAATATTAGTACCAAGGAAGAAGCTTGTCGCAGTAAATGAGTGAAACATGAAAGCTTTAGCTTCAAATGCTCAAAAGTTATGTTGCCAAGGTTAAAGTTTTTGGAACGTGGACCCAAGGTTAATGTCAAACTTGTTGGTTTTCGAGGAAATAAAAGATATGGTCTAAAATGTAAAATCACTTTGTCACAGATAATATACATGTGTAACGGTAATATATTTACATCCACTGAATATTTTCTCCTTTATTTCTTAAGAAAACCCATTGCGTTAATCACTGCATGAACTACAGTAGGCATGTAGCCTTTACAGATTTCTTGATCAGTGGCTGTTCCATCAATGAAAAGTATAAAGTCGTTCGCATCATTAATACAATAATTAATCTTTTTAATCCTACTTTAAATGATTATTTAAACAGATCTTTAAATGATTATTTAAACAGATATAAATATAAACAATAAAATGTCTTTCTTTGTTTGTTATTACTGGAATTAACGGTTGCAGCTATTGCAGAAAAAATTTACATAACCCGCTTACGCGGGTTATATATTTTTTCTGCAACTGCTGCTTCCGTTAATTCCAGTAATAACAAACAAAGAAATCATTTTATTGTTTAAATGAAAACCCCACTCTATTTTTTTTCTCTTTCAAACGACATGACCATTTAAAAAAATTTTTTTTTTGAAAAGTAAGGCCAAGGTTGCAGGATCAAAATTCATAATATTTGGAAAGGTATTGTCATAGGAAATGTACACGTGAAATACATTTATAAAAACATTATCTTTTCTCATTCAAAAGTTATGACCAAGGTTAAAGTTTTTGTGACAGACGTATAGACTGACAGACGAATAAGATTTTAATGTCCCCTCGCTTTCACGAAAGCGGAGGACAAATACAGAATGCTTCTATACACGAAAAAAAAAAAAGAATTTTGATCACAAATAGACTTCACTCGTATATAAAGCCAACTTTTGACAAGTAAAAAGTTTAAATTTGGAGAAACCAGGTGTGTTTGTAAAACACTGACGTTCTTTGTTTGTATGGCAGCTCATGGAGAGGATTGAAGTTTCTCAAATGCAAGTCAAACTTCAAGGTCAAAGTGAAAAGTTTGAAATTGTTTGTATTAAAAAGAAGGTCTCGTCACAAGGAATACACCTGTGAAATTTGAAAGCCCTAGCTGGTACTAACTGTTCAAAATTTATGACCAATGTTAACTTTAAAAAAAAAAAAAGTGGGTCAAAATCTAAGGCTAAGGTTGAGGTCAATATTTATACCTATTGAAAGAACTTGTTTCAGTGAATACACATGGGAAATATGAAAGCCGTAGCACCAACTATTCAAAAGTCATTGCCATGGTTTAAGTTTGTTTGTTTGTTCTTTGTTCTTTGTTTTTTGGTTTTTTTTCTTTTTTTTTTTGTAAAAGTGGATCAACCTCCAAGGCCAAGAGATCAAATTTGTTGGTACACGAAGAACGAAAGGACAGAGCTAAAACTATATACCCCCAATCTTCGATTTGGGGGCATAAAAATCGACATGGCGCCCCGGTATATAAGGAGCGAAGGGACGTTACTGAGGCTCTTACTTGTAGGAGTGGGATAAGTGTAACTCTCTCCTCGCTTGACCGAGAAATTATACGGAATTTTGACTGAGGTTTAAAGTTAACACGTAATAATTTTATGCCATTCTGCACAGTCTTAAATAAGCTTTCAATAGTAGAATAAAACACATAAAAATATATCACCAATCCATGATATATGTAATTCAATGTAAGACTTACCTATAATTGCATAATTTTGTAAATCCAGCAAAAAATCCATGATGATTCAATCCTTAAAATGATCCGAAGAAGCACCTCTAAATCCTATTTATAAAGATTTTTGACAATAGATATATATTTTTTTTAAGTCACATTTTCATTGCCCTTTTATGCTCTGATTGCTTTGAATAGAATCGTCATTTCCAATAATCCATAACCTTTCAGTTACGGAAATAATAATAGTTCAATTATTTTCGATAAATTTAGATCTTGTTTTTTGAAAATTAATTTTACCAGTGACTGTTAATTTTTTCTAACCATATTTCTATTATACATACAAATATCAAGGCAAAATATTCTTGCATTAACGCACAGTGTAGACATGTTTGAAGTAAGATTTGCAGCATCGTGATTTTTAAAAGTTAGTGTTACTTGTCATAACTTGAAATATTACGGATCTTTCCATCCAGTCTTTATTCCGCAAATAAAACGATTATTATCTTGAAAACGGTCGATGATATTAAAAAATTACGTTTATTAAGGGAACCACGTCCCTGGTTAATTAAATGAAAATCCAATGGATAAGGGCCTCTTTTCTCTTCCTCTTATTTTCCTTCGATGTATAAAAAAAATCCAAACTGAAAAGAATATCTCTTTATTTGACTAAAATTCCCAACAGATTGGCATATCGATTGTAAAACGATTAAGGAATTTTTATGATGCACAGCTGATAAAGTTGTTATTACGGGTAAGTAGCTTGTTTGGTACAGATCGTTGTATTTTTAGCCTGTGTTTTATTATGTGCAGCTGTCACGCATATTCTGCACTAAACTCATCGATCCCTCTCTCATCAATGAAACTTGTTATCTTCTAAATATTTCGTGATATAAGAAATAAAGGATTTAATATTTAGTTTACAGTTCTTTTCTTTTTCTATTTCTAGAAACCCCTCCCCCAGCCCCTCTCCCGTGAAAAAAAAACTTCACTGGAGTAGGTTCACAATTTTATAAAATGGTCAGTTTACGCCTATAAACTATTATTTCAAAAATAAATTCGAAACCTTATTGTACCCAGGTTATACTATATAACCTTGGTTGGGACAGTAAACGCTTTGTAAACCGCAAATAGATTTAATTGTGATAAGAAGAAACACAAGAAAAGACACTGATGCAGCCGAAAAAACCTTCCATGAAAATAATTAGAGAATGTGTTTGTATTTTATTTCCCTTTCTCGTTTATTGTTATGACATATGTCTTGGACCGCCGGACACAGTCACTTATTGGAACAACCATCAAGACGAGTCCGATGAGCAGAGTAGCCGCCCCTGCCAGGTAAAACGCCATGTTGTAGGAACCTGTTGTCTGTACCAGGTAACCTTAAACAACCAGAACCATGAATTAGTTGTTTATCTATGTCATAGCTTAAAATCATGCTTGTTTTCAAACAGCAGTCATGAGGGTAACTTTAATGTAAAATGAACATTAAACTACATTGCAGGCACTTGTTTCGGTTATAATTTTTTAACCAGTAGTATTATTATTACACTTTGGGTTAAAAGTTTTATTATCGAAACAAGTGCCTGTTTGGTGCATGTATAAACTAGTTCTACGTTGTCAAGTACCAGAATCGCAAGCCATATATATTCTATTTTCATTATCGTAATAAATCTCAAAGCTTTCAGTTTGTTGCTGCAATGATTATTTCCATGTGTCTTTGAAGCCAATGCAAACAACAGTGAATTTGTATTATTTCAGAATAATAGAATCTGTGGATTGTAATCAAGTTTGAAAATTTTATGTGAGCAATATGTAATATGCATGTATTTACATTACTCTATGTGACATCATGAATGAAAATTTATCTAAATCTAGACATGTTATTTTTTTCATGATATAAAATAAAATTTAAAAAAAGGTAAATTAAATTCAGATTATTTTTTTTCTGTTTTTCATTTATCTAAAGCAGAATATATGAAAATGAAATGCGTATGTACATGTACATCGATTTGAATTAATCTTAGTATTGATTGAAATCATACTGGTGCTTTCAGAAACTTCTCAAATACCGTGGGAGCAAAGATTATTTTCTCCATAAGGAATTAATTGCAGACCTTAACATGGGTGTGCTTCCTAAAATTACGACTGACCATCATGTCTCATGCTAGATCAGAAACCTAAACTTGCTGAATTGTTCATAGAGAAGATACTAAGTACACGAACCTCCTAAAGGTGGTCCAATAAAATTCCCCACTCCACTGGTTAGAGTCAGATATCCCATACCTTCTCCGATCAGTTCACTTCCAACAAAATCAGACACAAGGATTACCAACAAACCGAGGCATATCCCAAAACTCAGTCCGAACAAAGAGTTGATAAAGGCGAATGCTTCCATTGTGTGAAAAAGCGGTACTGTGAAAGCGAGGAGACAAAAGCCCGACACGAAATTTGTAACAATGAACAAAAGACATCTGTTGATACTCCGAAGATTTCCCAGAATTCCACCAATTACGCAACCTATGGTCGTTGTGCCTTGCAAGATGGAGAGAAGTGATGCTGCTTGGGTTACATTAAGACCAACTTTTGTAAAATAGTCTGGTCCAAGAAGTAGATGAACAGAAGCACCAAAATTCCACAAAAGGTTATTTATTATGTAAAGAACATATGGCAAGTTGGTCATTAGTTTCATCGCTCTTGACTTTTCCTCCGGTGGTTTCTTTCGTTGTTTTGTAATTTTCTTAGAAACATCTATACCTGAAGAATTGTGGTTTGATGCCCCATTTTGATAATTTATGTCTCCACCTATTTCTGCAATTGTATAAATTGTCTTTGTGCTATCAGTGAGATCATTGACATTGTCAATATTCTTCTTTCTTATTCTTTTCCAAGATCGTTGAATGGGAGATTCCCTCAGTAGACCAGAGAGTAGCAAGGTTTGTAAATTCACTGCTGCGAGAATATAAAACGAACCTCTCCATCCAAACACGTCAATCAGAAATTCAATCAAGTGTGGAAACACAACGCCACCAAGCGAGGAACCGGAAGTGACGATTCCTGTAACCAGCCCTCTATTTTTGTCAAACCAGAGACCAGACATAGTGTGAGAAGGAAGGTAGAGTAAACAGTAACCAATGCCTGAATAAATGTATGAAACATCGAAATCAAACATGAGTAAGACGGTCACAATTTATTTTACTTCAGTTTGGAATTAAAAGATTTTCAATAGAGGAAAAATATTTTATTATCAGTAGCAAAGGCTTTTGTTTTATTCTGAATGAAGTAAAAGTGATTTTGTGGAGTAAATTGTGAGTAGCATGGCAGTAACTCGACAACAAATTTTAAAACCAAAAAAACTAATTATCACCATTTTCCCAGTTGTTATATGCAATTTATGAATCAAATTGTGTAAACTGATTTCCAGATCATAACAAAATTTCCTATTCTTTCATATGGCTATCTTGCCTATTTTTATCGTCTTTCTGCTATCTTTCTTGATGAAATTAATTGGACATTTGTATTAATTTATGCATGATATATGTAAATGCAACAATGGTGTATTTTATTTAGTTGATACATAGCAAAATCTAATAACAATAAATAATAATATAATATTATAATGGGCATAAACAAAAGATAAATTAAAACTTACCAGTTATTACTCCAAAGAAGGCGATCAGGTATGGAATATTTGGAGTAAACGGTAAAACAGAGAGACCGACACTGCTCATAACGGCGCCCAGTAAACAAACCTTTCTGTAGGACATCTTCCGCATTAGAAAACTGGCAAACGGACCTTAAAGTAAGTTTTTTTTTCATAACAAGTAAGTTATACAAAACATGTATACTGTTAAAGGGGCTGGGGGGTTATGGCCATTTTTAGACTCCTTTTTTGACCTCCTTTAGAAGAAGAGCTCCATATAAAGATATACAAAAATGAACAAATTTTGAAACTAAAATGTATGAAATTTTTCTTTGCCAGATGATAATTGACAGCTTAAGATATATCTAAAAAAAAAAAGTTAAATCTGGTGGTTAATTTGTTGACCCCCCCCCCCCCAGCCTCCTTAACAGTTAATTGAGGAATACAAGCTTATGTAATGTACGGTAATGTAATGTAGTCAAAGATTGCACGAAAAGATAAAAGGCTGCATGTTATCAAAAATTTCATTCATGAATTGAAAGTGAAGAAACTTTTATTTTTGCATTGCAACATTGTAATTTTTCAAAAGTAACAACATCCAACTTATAAGAAATTCATCTTCTACATTAAAGCACTCGTATTGATACATATATAAAATATAAAAAAAAAATGCATAGTGTGTTATAATGAAAAACAACATGAATATGAAATATAATATAGTCAATTTACATATTCCAAAACATATACAGACCTAAGCCCAACTGAAATCCAATATGTATTGAACCGACAGAAGAAATTATTGATAAGCCCGTATCAAACTCATTTTGTAGTTCTATAACATAGATACCAAAAGAAAGACAGATTCCGAACGTAATGAACTGAATGAGAAACGCTGCGACGGCTATCACTATTCCCCATGGATTTTCCATCACAAATCAATGTACCAAAAACTGAAAAATAATGATTTTGGAGTCTTAAACTTTATCAAAAGCTAAAGTGGTTATCTAAAAAGTCTCCCGAAGGTGTTCTCGATGTTCTAAATAACATGATCCCGACAAAAGTGATGAAAGATAAGTTATAATTATCAGTTAAAACTACATCATTATTGAACTTTTCTAGGGGCAACCCAGTATCAACCTTTAAGGTGAAACGTCCCTAGACTGTAAATTTCAATACTTGTTCGTGATACTGCATATAGCCTACTTAAATCGTATAACCCGCTTTTGTATTAACTTACGTGAAAATGTCAAAGAATCACTCTGCAAGAAAATAGCACGACAAAAATACCCCCCCCCCCCCCTCACAAATATGGAAAAAGCAAACAGACGAACAAAATAATTTAATAAGATAAATAATAATAATAAAAAAAAACAATATGAATAAAAAAAATCAAATAATAAACAAGAGGCCCATGGGCCACATCGCTCACCTGAGTACTGTAGCTTAGAAAAAGTAGAAATTGGTTTATTATTGAAAAGTTAAAATCCAAAAGTAATCCCATGATCAATCATGGATTTGCTATTCTTCAAAGTATTTTCCCATATATTTCTATGTAAAACTTTGGTCGGCCATTTTGGCCCCGCCCTACCCCCTGGGGTCATGATTTGAACAAATTTGAATCTACATTACCTGAAGATGCTTCCATATAAAGATAATGAATAATGGCTTTGTCATTCTTGAGAAGAAGATTTTTAAAGAATTTTCCCATTAATTTCTTTGTAAAACTTTGGTCGGCCATTTTGGCCCCGCCCCACCCCCGGGGGTCATGATTTGAACAAACTTGTATCTTCACTACCTGAGGATACTTCCATATAAATTTGATGAATTATGGCTCTGTCATTCTTGAGAAGAAAATTTTTAAAGAATTTTCCTATATATTTCTATGTAAAACTTTGGTCGGCCATTTTGGCCCCGCCCTACCCCCGGGGGTCATGATTTGAACAAACTTGAATCTACACTACCTGAGGATGCTTCCATATAAATTTAATGAATTATGGCTCTGTCATTCTTGAGAAGAAGTTTAAAAAATGTTCCTATAATTATTTCTATGTAAAACTTTGGTTGGCCATTTTGGCCCCGCCCTACCCCTGGGGGTCATAATTTGAACAAACTTCAATCTACACTACCTGAGGATGTTACCCCATAAGTTTCATCTTTCCTGGCACAGTGGTTCTTGAGAAGAAGATTTTTAAAGAATTTTCCTATATATTTCTATGTAAAACTTTGGTCGGCCATTTTGGCCCCGCCCTACCCCGGGGGTCATGATTTGAACAAACTTGAATCTACACTACCTGAGGATGCTACCCCATAAGTTTCATCTTTCCTGGCACAGTGGTTCTTGAGAAGAAGATTTTTAAAACATGCCACCAAATTTTCATTAATTCCCAATTATCTCCCCTTGAATGAGGGCGTGGCCCTTCATTTGAACAAACTTGAATCCCCTTCACCCAAGGATGCTTTGTGGCAAGTTTGGTTGAAATTGGCCCAGTGGTTCTTGAGAAGAAGTCGAAAATGTGAAAAGTTTACAGACAGACAGACAGACAGACAGACAGACAGACGGACAGACGGACGCCGGACAAAATGTGATCAGAAAAGCTCACTTGAGCCTTCGGCTCAGGTGAGCTAAAAAAAACCCAAGAATATGAAGAAAACAAGATGCGTTTGTAAAACACTGATGCGTCCGTATGGCAACAAAGCAAAGATTAGTATAAACTTTTCTTAAATGCAAATTAAATGTTTGTACCCACAAAAAATACAATTGTAACATATGAAAGTCCTAGCAACACCTGTTCAAAAGTTATGACCAAGTTTAAAGTTTCTTAAAGGTAAGTCAAGTTCCAGGGTCAAGGTCAAAGGGTCAAATTTGTTGGTTTCTAAAGAAAGGTCTTGTCACACGGATTACATATGTGAAGTATGAGAGCCCTAAATCCAAGCGTTCAAAAGTTATAGCCAAGGATAAAGGTTTTAAAAAGTAGGTCAAACTTCAAGGTTGAGGTCAAAGGGTCAATGTGATTGGTATCCAGTGAAAGGTCTTGTCACAAGGATTAAATATGAGAAGTTTGAAAGCCCTAGCCCTAACCCTTAAATAGTTATGGTAATTTTTTTTTTAAAAAGTAGGCCAAACTCCAAGGCCAAGGTCAAAGTTCTTGGCATCTAAAGAAAGGTTTTCTCACAAGGATTAAATATAAGAAGTATGAAAGCCCTAGCTCTCACCGTTCCAAAGTTATGGCTGAGGTTAAAGTTTTTTAAGTACGCAAATCTTCCAGGTCAAAGGGTCAAAGTTGTGGTGTCCAGAGGAAGGTCTTGTCACAAAAATACATTTTTGAAGCATGAAAGTCCTAGTACATTGCCACTACCATTGAGAAGTTATGGCCAAAATAAAAGTTTGGAATTTTTGTGTAAAAGTGTGTCAAACTCCAAGGTCAAGGTCAAAGGTCAAATTTGGTGGTACCTAAAGAGAGGTCTTGTCACAAGGAATACACATGTGAAAATGAAAGTCATAGCTTCAGTATATCAAAAGTTATGGCTATGGTTAAAGTTTTTGCGGACAAACAGACAGACAGACACAGACTGACGGACACGACAAAAACTATATACCCCGAATCTTCGATTACGGGGACATTAAAAGCAAATAAATAAATTATAATATAAGAAAAGAACAAAGACAGCAACAGGTAAGAGCATGATAGCTGAAAGAAAAGAATAACATTACAAAACACATGCTCGATTTCAAATAATAGAACTGTTAATTTGAAAATCTTTAACAAACAGGTGATAGATGTGTAATTAAAGAAAATTAATAAATTGTGTTTCTTTTTACAATGCAATGTTTCTTTTCATTTTCCCCCAAAATTAATATCTTCAATTTAAGAAAATGTTTTCTTTTTTTGAAGTAAAGATAAAACAAAAATATTACTAGGATAAACATGTAATATTTACTTTATGCAGTGTACATTTAAATTCGTAATGTCCTTTAAAACACTTTGTGAAGAAAAACAGTATTGATCAATAAGATTTATTTCTAAATAAAATACTTTTAAAAGAAAGAAAATTCATATTTTTTTCACGAAAATTATCCTGAGTGGAAAATAAAATTTTCATGCTAGATTTGGGACTGCTTTTTATTGTACACATATCCTGTCTCAAGTGACAAGATAAATCTTCAACGAAAGCTTCAATGAAATCTTTGGTCTTTGTTGGTACATGTACATAGTTATTTATACGTATATGTCCAAAATATGACAATTTGAGGAACAAAATTCCTCAAGGCATATAATTGTATGTTCTCGAGAAATGATTTAAATACGTCATCCAATTTTAAAAAAGTATTGCTTGGCATACGATCATGTTTTGAAATATCGATCTTTCCCTTCAGCTTTTTATCAGCGAATAAAAAATGATTCTTGCAATTATCTTGAAAACGGTCGATGATATTGAAATTATCAGGGATCTACGTTCCTGGATTAATTAAGTGAAAATCCAGTTGAGTTGAGTAGAGTCTTGTTTCTAGCTCCTCCCCCTCATTTCCTTATCTAAGTAAATGTATTTCTTCGATGTAAAAATTAACATGAAAAATATCTTTTCATATTTGACTATAATTTCAAACGGATTCGCATATCGATTGTAAAACGAACAGTAATAATGTAGAAATACAAAAATCATTGTCAAAATTTATAAAGAAAAATTTCAAAACTGTCTGTCCTTCTTGAATCCTCCATGTGTTTTATATGTCACTGACTATATGATTATCTCATTCTTTTCTTCTTTTCTTTATGTACTTGTCTACGTAGTATTTCTTGACCCTTGACTGCAATTGTTGCTTGTATATATGTATATATGTACCTCTTGTACCAGTGATCTGGTTTATATTTCTAATGAACAGCTGATTATAGTTGTGATTACCGGTAAGTAGCTTGTTTGATTCAGATCAGTGTATTTTTAGTCTGTATTGATTTCAATTAAAGTGTTATTATGGGCAGCTCTCACGCAGATTCTGCACTAAATGAAATGCAATTTCTCAAATATTGCGTGGTAAAAAAATAAAGGATTTAAAATCTAGGGTTCAGCTTTTGTATTTTACTATATCTATGTGCCCCCCCCCCTTACACACACACACACACACACACACACAACCTACTGGAATAGGTGACAATGGTGAACATGTACTTTAACTACATGGTCATTTTACGCTGATAACCTAATATTTCCATTTCTAATTTTTCTCTCTGTGATATCTCTTTGAAAGTTAGCGGAGTTAATTTCTTGATCATTCTACCGAAATGTAAATTAGGCAGGTCAATTAGTCAGGAGCTAAGGAGGCCTAATATGCATGCAAATCTCGTGCGCATCTGTCTCTGAGTCTGACGCTAAGGAGGCCAAATATGCATGAAAATCTCGTGCGGCTGCCTTTGTGTTTGACGTCAGTGGGCGAGGACTATTGAAATTGGGATGGGAATCCTCGTGTAATTTAAATCTATGTCTGCATTTTTAAAGTCTAAATCTACAATTTTATTTCACAATGAAATGGAAATATAAGGAATCACTGTCTAGTTAGTATAGTATGCAAGGGACATCAACAATAGTGGGAAACATGGGATAATTTATGCATAACGGGCTTCGCCCGTTATGCAAATTATCCCATGTTTCGCCCGTTATGCAAATTATCCCATGTTTCTCACTATTGTTGATGCCCTGGCATACTATACTAACTAGACAGTGATTCCTTAATTATTTAAGGTATGAATCCAATAGCTACAGGCATCAAAGTTATACTGTATAACCTGGGTTGGGGCAGTTTACGGTTTAAACGATTGGTAGTCAAAAAATTAAGAAAAAACACTGATGCGGCCCATTAAACCGTCCATAAAAACAACTAGAGAATGTATTTGTACTAGTATTTTATTTCCCTTTCTCGGTTGATGTTATGACATATGTACTGGACCGCCGGAAACAGTCTCTCACTGGAACAACCATCCGTTAAGAGCTTGTTTGTTTTAGATCAGTGTATTTTTAGATTTTTGAAGATCCGCTTAAAAATATGTTTTAAGAAGGAATGAATTAATTTTTTTATATGGTATAAACCCCTGCCAGCGTTTTTAATACGCCATGTTGTAAAATGGAAGCTGTTGTTATAATTTAATTTTCATTAATTTGTTGTAAGAAAAAAGAGAATGTTCTAACAAATTGACTTTAATTTGTACAAAATTTGAATGTAACGTCAGGCGGATTGATACGTTGTTGACGTAAGTCATTGTGA